CAAGAAATGAATCAAGTCAGTCTAAAGGTATTCCCTTTCGATGTGAATGTGGAGGACCGGTTTCGAGAAGGATATCCAAAAGTGACAAGAATCCTGGAAGAGTTCTCTTTACTTGTACTTCACAGGAGGTTTGTGTTTTATTGTATTTTTCGTATTTGTATTATGTTTTAAAGATATGGGAAAATGACATTTTTCTACACCAATTTTATAAAATATGACCTTTTCCTGCACGAATTTTTAATTTGACAAAAACCTACACTATATTATCAAATGTCCCAAATCTATACATGAATTATCCAATTTTACTACAATTTACTACACAATCCGAAACGGTGTTAAAATGTCCGTTAATTGATGACGTGGAAGGCCATGTGGCGGCTGATGTGAATGCCACGTGGAAAATTTTACCATATCAGCACACCACGTCAGATTTTCAAAAAAAAAATTAAAAAATTAAACAAACATAAAAAAGTACAAAAAAATAAAAAAAAATACATATATACATATACATACATACAAATATATTTATATATACACACATACACATATATAAATATATATACATGTATACATGTACATATATGTAAACATATACAATGCACACATATATGTACATATATTACATACATCTATATATATATTGATATATATTCATATCTATATACAAATACAAATATAAATATACATACTCTTATGTATAAACATATCTATATATACATACAAAATAACAAATATACACATGTATATACATATATCTATACAAATATATATACATATATGTATGTGTGTATATATAAATATATTTGCATGTATGTATATATATGTGTATATTTTTTATTTTGTATGTATATATAGATATATTAATACATAGGAGAGTATATATGTTTATATTTGTATTTGTATATAGATATGAATATATATGCATATACATGTATAGATATATGTATATACATATATATTTTTTATTTTGTATCTATACATACATATAATGTATATATATGTATATATACAATATATATATATATATTGCATATGTTTATATATATATACACATGTATATATATATGTATTTATATATGTTTGTATGTATATATGTATTTTTTATTTTATTTAATTTTCGATTTTAATTTTTTTGAATTTTTGAATCTTTTATTTTTATTTTTTAAAAACTTTTTTAAAAATCTGACGTAGCGTGCTGACATGGCAAAATTCCCACGTGGTCTTCCACGTCAGCCGCCACATGGCCTTCCACATCATCAATTAACGGACATTTTAACACCGTTTCGGATTGTGTAGTAAATTGCAGTCAAATTGGGTAATTCGTGTATAGATCTGGGACATTTGATAATATAGTGTAGATTTTTGTCAAATTAAAAATTCGTGTAGGAAAAGGTCATATTTTACTAATATTTCAGAGAAAATGTTCGCATTTCTTCAAATGGCTTGATGATGCGTTGGTTGAGGAGAATGAAGGTTGTCAGAATGAATTGGATAAAATGAAAGCGTATTCGGATGTTTTCAAAAATGAGTTGCAGAAGATGAACTTGGAATCGCATAAGGTTAATCTGATGTTGCAGAAGATAGAAGAGCAAAAGAAGATGGAAGAATAAATGAGTTTGAATTTGAAGAAGATGGTAGACCATATAAACACTGAGATGGAGCATGTCACTCGGAATTTGAAGAAGATTGAAGAAGTTGTAAACTGTGAGATGGAGAAGGTGAATTTGAAATTGAAGAAGATGGAAGAACAGGTGGTTGAGGTCAAAGCAAGCCGATTCCAAGTTGTTGAAGTCATCACTATTGTTGTGATCCTCTTTGCTTACTATTATGGTTAACCATCATACACTACAAAAAAAAAATCATCGAATTCCAACGGATTTTCCAACGGATTTGTCCGATGAAAATTTTTCAATGGTCGTTTCAATGATGATTTTCGTTAAAATTCAGTTAAAAATTTCCAACGGATATCCGTTGGAAACATCCGTTGGAAAGTTTTAACTAAATCTTCAACGTATTAAATTGAAAAATTGGGTTTAAAATTTCCAACGGTATTTCCAACGGATATCCGTTGGAACTTTTTAACGGACTAACGTTGGAAAAATCAGTTGCAAATTTTTAACGAGATTCCAACAGATGTTGGTTAGAAAACAATTCCAACGGAATTCCAAGAGATGGTCAGTTGAAATTTTTTTGAAAATTTTAAAAAAAATTCCAGCAAATGCCGGTTGAAAATTTTTTTTGGAAATTTAAAAAAAAAATTCCAATGGATATCGGTTGGAAATTTAGATTTTAATTGAAAAATCAATTGAAATATATATATATATATATATATATATATATATTTAAATACATGTATTTTATATATTTATACGTATATATATGTATGAATACATGTATATTTTGTGTATATATATTTTATATATACATAACAAATATATATTATACATATATATATATATGAATTCGAATATGTATATACGTAAATATGTATAAACATTTATATATGTGTATATCTTAATGTTATATGATATGAGAAGTTTAAATTGGAGCAGTTTGGATGAGTTCCAATTGGAACTCTAGAGTTGAAGGAGGATTGAGGTGGAGCAGTGGAAGGATGAGTGACTTACTGAGAAGTGAGTTTCGGGATCGTGGTCGGGTCGGGGTCGGGGTCGAGGTCTGGATCGAGAATATGTTTTGAATTTGTCGTTGGAAAATTCCAATAGAATGCGGTTGGAAATTCCGTTGGAAAATTCTAACGGATTGCGGTTGGAAATTCCGTTGAAATTTTTCAACGCCGATTTCTAACGACGAAATTCTAACGGATTTATCCGTTGAAAACGTTAATTTCCAACGGATTTGTCCATTGGAAATGACTATTTTTTTGCGTGATATAATTATTATACTATGTAATGGTGTGTCCACAACTTTCTCTTCTTTCTTCCTATTATCCGGGATTATTCTTCCGCCCTCCGGCCTTCTCCGGAGCCGCCGGCCTTCGCCGAATCTCTCTCTCTCGATCGATTTGTTTTGTGGTGGTTGTGGGGTGACATTGTTGAAGAGGAGAGAGAAGCACGCGCTCGATCAAAACGACGTCGGTGCCACGTCATACATACGGAGGCTGAAACGGACGGCGAGGATTCTTCCGTGGGGAATCGGGTGATCGATCAATGCCCTCCGACCGGTCATTGTCCACGTGGCGTTTATTGCTTGATCGATCGAACTATAGACACGTGGATTAATAAATTAGTTGTTAAACAATATATTAAACCTTGATCTCTTTGAACGTTATTAATCTTCAAATGTATCCCCAATCATATTTAAATCACACGACCACTATATTTAGGGTGTCAATGTTTATATTTGTAATGTTTTGGAGAAATGGCCATAAAAACCCTGTACTTTTCCCAAGTCAACGAAAAAACCTTGTATTTTTTTGCTTACCAATTAAACCCTATATTTGGTATGATTACCCAATAAAACCCCAAACTTGTTAATAATTCACCGAAAACCCCCCGCGACTGCCAACTCAAAAAAAAATGATGATGTGGCAATGACTTGTCTTCCAAATTATGTACACATCATCAAAATTATGACACACCATTATTTCAAACAAAAATAAATTACATAATTTATTTAAATTAATTTATATATATATATAAATTCACATATATATATATATATTAAATATAAAATTACTTATAACTAATAAAACATATATATATATATATTATAAATTACATTAAAAATAATATATATACATATTATTTGTTAATATATATTGTATATATATTATTTTTTAATATATAGTGTATATATTAGTTATAATTACTTTTCTTTTAATATGCATATTAGTTGTATATATATATATGTTACATATATAACTAATATATATACATATATATATTATTTTTAATAGATATATTATATGTGTATACGTTAGTTATAATTATTTTTATTGTAATATGTATATTAGTTATATATGTATATGTTATATGTATAACTACAATATATTATACACATAACTACAATACAATATATATGTATATTATACAACACAATATATATGTATATTATTTTTTTTGATAAAATATATGTATATTATAACTAATACATATACATATTACAATAAAAATAATTATAACTAACACATACACATATAATGTATATATTAAAAATAATATGTATATGTATATATATTAGTTATACATGTAATATATATATATATAACTAATATGCATATTAAAATAAAAGTAATTATAACTAATATATATAATATATATTAACAAATAATATATATATATATTATTTATAATGTAATTTATAATATATATGTGTGTGTTTTATTAGTTATAAGTAATTTTATATTTAATATATATATTTAATATATATATGAATTTATATGTATATAAATTAATTTAAATAAATTGTATAATTTATTTTTGTTTGAAATGATGATGTGTCATAATTTTGATGATGTGTACATAACTTGGAAGCCAAGTCATTGCCACATCATCATTTTTATTTGAGTTGGCAGACGCGGGGGGTTTTCGGTGAATTATTAACAAGTTTAGAGTTTTATTGGGTAATCATAGCAAGTATAGGATTTAATTGATAAGCAAAAAAGTATAAGGTTTTTTCGTTGATCTGAGAAAAGTACAGGGTTTTTATGACGATTTTCCCTGATGTTTTTTATATGTGTATAAGCGTAAACATACGCGCTTTTAATTTTTTTTTAATTGTTGATATGTTTTTATGTTGTGTTGATACAATGATGATATGGCATTCAGTCTGTGACGTTGTTCTTCGTCGTGGCGCTCAAATCCCTTGAAAATATTAGTGGTGACGGTTAAATCTCATAATTTCTAAAAGTTTATGAATTTATTTGATAGATTGCCTTTTATATTTATTTGCCATTTTTAACCTATAGTTTTTTATTTATGAAAATATTTGTTTATAGTTGACAAACGACGAGACAGGTTGTGTGGGAAAAGGGCAATAAACGTAGAACCAAACCAATCGAAAGGAGTCGATCCCTAAATTAACAAACCAATAAAAACTCCGTTTTCTTTTTCCACTGGTAAAATTCGGATCTAAGCAACCTCTTCTCCGATAACCACCACGAACGACGAGCAAAAAGCAGAGCATCTCGACTTTTCGATTTCGGTTTCGAGTCTCCGGTTCCTTTTTTGAAAAATTTTATCCAAAAAAACTCATTTGATTCGTGTTTCCAAGAACCTTGGAAGTTTCAGATTGCTCGATCCATGGAGAGGTTCTCAGTATCTCGATTTGCGTATGGGAATCTCGTTGTCCTGTTCTTAGTTGGGGCCGTCGTCGTGTCAGCGAGATCTGATGATGAAATCCGGGAGCGGTTTTACGGCAACCTTCTGAACTTGTCTTCGCCGGACAACGGCGAAGGGAGTATTGCCAAAATGTTCGATCGGGTTCTGGAGAAAGAGTTCTCCGAGAACGATCAGCCTGAAGGTTAGTTTCTGACCTGTTTGGTTGCCGAGAAAGCTGGGAAAATCGCAGCCCAACTTCCGTAAGGCTAGTCCGTCAAGCAGCTTTCCTCAGTCAGCTTTACTAATTTATGCAATCAGTTTTCTTCGCGTAAATTTGTCATTGCTGTTTGCGTATAAACGCTAAGAAAGCTAAGGAGAAGAAAATTTTTTTGTGCATGATACGAATTGATGACAACCAAGGTTTTGTGTGTGCATTTAGGTGCCTGCTTCTGTGGGATTATTTGATTGCTTCGTTGCCAACGTTTGCAATTGTTATTTCTCGTGTAGGATCAGATGGAGCAAGCTTTAACAGCAGCGTTGCTGATCAACAAGTAGGTTCCTCACATTTCCGGAAATTCTGAAAATTGTTGATTCTTGTTGTCTCAGATTTATGATTTTTGTGTTCTTGTGTTCCGAATCCAGGCTGAAATAGAGACGGTTGCTAAAGTAACTCATGAGAAAGGCAAAAGAAATGATACCCAGGAAACTAAGTAAGGAACATGTTCCTCGAATGCGTTTATCTGGAAATTTGTCTATGATTAGTGCAATGAAGGGTGGTTCTTTTTCCTTTATTGGGACTAATTTTTGTTGTTTGGCCAGTGGTACAAGAGCATTCCAACTTCAAGACGTGTTTTCCCTGGAAAATGAAGATTCTGATGATATGACAACTCTGATCGACAAAAAGGTTTATGGAATATTAAGTAAACCATTCTGTACCTTTCTCTGCATCTCTGTTTAGCCGCACTAACGATAACGATCTTCTCCTGCTAAACTTCAGAATAATGTCTTTGTCATGTCGAATAAAAAGTCCAAGTATCCAGTACTTCAAGTAGATGTGAGGTTAATATCTTTCATCTTACCTCATTAATGTGTTGTCTCCTTTTGTACTGCTCTGGACTTAAAATATGTAAAGGATCTCCACATTTCTTGCAGATTGATATCAGATTTGGTGGTCATTATTGTTTTTGCTGCCATTGGTGGAATTGTCTTCTCATGTCTGGGTCAGCCGGTTTGTACCAAACAAAATATTCAGATTTAAATATCATCCAGTTTAGCGTTTTTAGCATCGAATTTCATGTTGAATTCAATTTCTTGTTCTAACGTCTCTGGTTTTGTTTTAGGTCATTGTTGGATATCTTCTTGCGGGGTCAATCATTGGGCCAGGTGGATTGAAATTCATCAGTGAAATGGTCCAGGTATGAAATTAACTAAGAGACATATTCTCATGATTTCCTTGTTGATCATGGCCTGCTTATATCAGAAGAGGATGGTTATGATGGGAACCACCTAAGTACAATTCACTCCAAAAGCTAGCTTGTAGGGGAGGGTACCTAAGGGCCTCATAAGCCCCACATCATGTCCTCTATCTGTCTTCTTTTATTAACCCACTACATATGATAATTGCATAGCTGTTAAAACTTACATTACCACATGATTTACATTTTGCATGGGAAATTGAGTAAAGGCCAGTTATCTGAGGCGGTAGCTGCACTAAGTTTTCACTACCAACTCAAGACAGACTATGGTTCTTTCAATCTTCACCATTCTGTATCTAGGAAAATTGAAAAATGATTTCCTTGATTTTTACGAATGTAGAAAGGTAGGCGTGTTTTACTTTGTGATTTTGTCCTTGCTGCTTGACTTCTAGCCGTCAATAGCAATAGACATGAAGCATCTTGTAGATGTCACATTCGTACAATCAGCTAACTTACTCATACGTATGAAAGTTTGTTGTGGTGTTCATTTGTTCAGCATTTACATTTCTAATCGCTTGACAGGTTGAAACTGTGGCACAATTTGGTGTTGTTTTCCTCCTTTTTGCTTTAGGCTTGGAGTTCTCAATGACTAAGGTAGAACCTCTTTTGCCATTGCTGATTGCTCTAACTTGTAATTCATTTCCAATGGATTTTTGCATCTTATTCTGAAATCGTGCTTTTTATGCATTAACGCTGCAGTTGAAAGTTGTTGGCCCAGTCGCTGTCCTTGGAGGGCTTCTTCAGATCATCTTACTCATGTTTTTGTGCGGTGTAACTGCTATGGTATGGGGCAAACAGTCCGCTTTCTTTTGACATATTTTTGGCCATTTGAAAATGATTCTACAATTTGATATGTGGAACTTGCAGTTGTGTGGAGCAAGATTGTCTGAGGGTGTTTTTGTTGGTGCATTTTTATCTATGTCCTCAACTGCTGTGGTATTTTTCCTTTTCCGAAATATCTCCAATTTCCTGATTCTTGAGGCCAAAGCTTCTTTCTTCCACTGATCTTTCAGTTTCTGAATTTTACCTGTGTGTCCATTTTGATCAGGTGGTTAAGTTCTTAGTGGAACGGAACAGTACAAGTTCTCTTCATGGTCAAGTTACAATAGGGACGCTTATCTTTCAGGTTTCACCATGAACACTTTATGCTCTTACCATTAATTTTTTTTAGTATGAAAATTTGTTTTCTTTAGCTTTTTCCTTCTTTATTCATGAATTTTCAGGACTGTGTTGTTGGTTTATTGTTCGCCTTGCTCCCAGTTTTGGGTGGCAACAGCGGTTTACTACAAGGAATTATATCAATGGGGAAATTGTATGTATTCTCACAGCAATAAGTCTCTTTGTCAATCTCTAAAATATCCTCTTTGCCATTTATGACATTTTTTTTTCTTTTTTAATTTAGGCTTCTGATATTGTCCATATATCTTACTGTTGCGTCACTACTGACATGGTCATTTGTTCCTCGCTTCCTGAAGTTAATGATACAATTATCATCTCAAGTAAGTGATAATTTTAGGGTCCAGAACCAAACTTTGGCTTTGTTTCATTCTGGTTTGGTTGGACTCGCAATAACCCATTTACTTTTGTTTATTGTGAAATTCAGACAAATGAACTTTATCAGTTAGCTGCTGTGGCATTCTGCTTATTATCCGCATGGGTAGGTCCAATCTCACCTTCTTTTATGTGTACAAGTAAGCGGTCAAAATTCAAGACCCCTTTTGGCGTAGTAAGGTCAAGTGGAATGTTATTTGCAATTATGTCTTAGCAATAAACTATATAAGTGTAGTGATGATGATGATGATGATAACAGACATTGAAGTAGTAAAATAATGTTAGTATGTCAATATATTTATATGTACGCACACCCTCTCCAGCTTAAAGTACCGTTCCTTGGAACTTCTACAGTGCAGTGACAAGCTGGGTCTTAGTCTTGAGTTGGGATCATTCATGGCTGGTGTTATGGTGTCTACAACCGACTTTGCGCAACATACTCTAGAGCAGGTACCCATTTGAAAAGTCTCCGACTCCTCCAGTGCGCTTATTTACTGAAATCTTTGTTACGCTGATAGTACCCTTTGCTCAGTAGGGTTATGTGATTGAGTTCTATCATGATACTACTTATGAAATTGGACTTTTTTGGTGACTCAGGTGGAACCAATTCGTAATTTATTCGCCGCCCTTTTCCTTTCGAGCATCGGGATGCTCATAAATGTGCAGTTTCTCTGGAACCACGTGGATATACTTCTGGCGTCTGTTATTCTAGTCATAGTTGTTAAGACAGCTATTGTAGCAACAGTAATTAAGGCTTTCGGGTACAATTTGAGGGCGTCATTCCACGTAAGTTCGACCTGAAACCCTTGTAGAAGATGATTCATATTCTTAGATCAGAACCCCTTCTATATCAATCGCCTAAATATTTCGATTATAAACATAATAGGTTGGAGTACTACTCGCTCAGATTGGAGAGTTTGCCTTTGTACTGCTAAGCCGTGCATCGAACTTACGTATTATTGAGGTAATAATACTTTCTGCTTTAAAAATAGGTTACTTCACTTTTGCTTCTATTCCATCCCTAGTAAGTGCTTGTAGCAGTCGATTTCTTCTCACCACTTCACAAGTCTAAATCAATGTTCATTTCTACCTCGCTTTGTATCGGAAAACTTTTACTCTACTCTCATCTTCACCAACTCACTAACAGTTTATTTTAACCTTGGGCTTAAATATTATGATGATACAGGGGAAAATGTACCTTCTCCTTCTGGGTACAACAGCTCTGAGCCTAGTAAGTTTTCTTGGTAAAACAGAGAAGTACTTCATATGCCAAGAAAAAGAAGCAAAGCATGCTACGTTTTAACTTCTTCACTGGAAATTATAGTTTTGATGGTGAAATTGGCAAAACGAGCCTTTCCTTTTCGATTGACTCGGGTATGGTAAATATGATTGCAGGTGACGACCCCGTTGCTATTCAAGTTAATACCGAGTGCAATGAACCTCGGTGTTTTTCTTCGGGTTTTCCCATCAGAGAATAACTCCCAGAATGAGGTCCTTCCCTTTCCCTATTCATTTGTTTCTCGATCTTTGTTACGGAATCTGTGGAGGACGGAATTTATACGGTTCTTAAACTTTTTGGCAGGAGGAGAAAGGGTCGATGATGAAGTTGTGAGTTACGTCTGCATCATTTTGTGTACATATAGATTATTCCTTTGATCAGACGAAAACTCGACGAGGCAACAACGCCGAAACTGACTGAGAAGATCTTAGTGTGCCATTTGATAGCCAGATGAATTCACAGGTCCTTTGTGCTAGCTTTTCTACTCTCTGCGTTCTTGTCATACTCGACCAAGGATTATAAAAAATGTGAAACGGATTGTCATTCTATATATGATGAAGGACTGAAGGGGTGCTGGAATTGTATATCCTGTAATAAAATAAAATTTTGTTTTTGAATATGCGATTTGGTTACTTGGAGCGAAAAAAAAAATATTTATGCATCCGTGTAAGTTTGTATATAGTTTGTGTGACGATGGGTTCAATAAAAGGGTGAGGAGGGGGAGCAAAAGCGACCGCCGATTTTATTGACATTAATATCAACGGTTAAGAATATGCCACGTGTACGGTCTCGATCGTATCTGTAGTTGCTCGATTCCTCACTAGTGAAAAGAAGAATAAATAAGTTCTCATCAGTCATCACTCCGTGACTCCGTCCATATTATTTCTTTCCCCAGTTTCAGAATATCAGGACTTTCTCTGGAGATAGAGAGAGAGAATGGAAGAGAAATCTGCGACTAGCCTGCGGTGCCAACGCATCGGCTGCAACGCCATGTTCACCGATGACGACAATCCAGAAGGTTCCTGTCAATTTCACGATTCTGTGCGTAACTTTCCCTTTCTTCTATCCCCTCTTCTCTCATATTCTTTCTCTTCGCTTCGGGAAAAGAAAATGTTGTGGATTCGCTGCTTATTGTTGTATCTTTGATTCCGAGTAGCGATTCTTTTCGAATCTGGGTTAGCTTTTATGCGAAACTCGATTTGTTCGGTTGAGGAACATAAACCCTTCGGTTATTCGATGAGCTTCGAACGTCTAGAATCTGGATGATTTGGGACGAAACAAGGTTTCCTGCGAGCTGGGCACTCTTTATGACTTAGCTTTGCCCTAACTAATGAGCTATTTCCATGCTCTGGATCGGGGATTAGCCGACATTTGGGTGGGACTGAAGCTGGGGAAGATTAAGATAGACGTTGTTACTTGTTATAGATTAACCGCGGGAGATTATTCCTTTTTTGTATTGGTTTTCCTTCGATGTGGAACATGCGTGATACCCTTAGATCAGTAGGAGACACACTTTATAGTTGTGTGAATAGAACACTCCTTCATTGTATATGAAAACATGAATTGTGGAAGGTTGAGGCAAACCGGGGAGTAGTACCTTTCGTGGAATACCCAAATTATGCTTCCTTTGTACCATTTTATATCCTTTAGTAGCCAAGTCTTTGATACGGACTTGCATGAGATTGTTGGTTTTGTTCTTGTTCTTTCCGTCACTTGGAGTCCTCACCGTATTCTATTCGGTGTTTCCTTTTTCATGGGAAACTTGGTGGTGTGCCCGGGCTTGATTCCGCTGTTCCTCCAAGCAGGGGGTAAGTCAAAGTTACACTTCGATGCTATTCCTCTTTTTCATTGTGATGTTGTTTTTACATTCGTTCGTTCAGAGGACTAAAAGGGTAAAAGGCTATGTTTGCAGCCTATTTTCCATGATGGAATGAAAGAGTGGAGCTGCTGCAAGAAAAGAAGTCATGATTTCAGCTTGTTTTTGGAAATTCCGGGGTAAGAACAAGTCTGGGTTCTCTTTGACGATACCCTCATCTTTATATGTTTTCATCTCTCAATTGCATACTGAGATGAGATCCTCATGTTTTCAATGAAGGTGTAAAACCGGTAAACACACAACAGAAAAGCCAGTTATAGCCAAACCAGCTCCAAAGCAGCCGGTCGCCATTCCACATTCATCTCCAGGCGTTAATTCAACGACCAAAGAGTCATGTTCCAGGTGCAGGCAGGGTTTCTTCTGCTCTGACCACGGTATTCCACATGAGAATTTCATATGCCAGTATTCACTATTCAGTTACATTTCCGTATTCCTCCGAGTTGAACCTAATGGTGTGATGGACCGAATATAGCTGAACACCTATAACATTTGTTTTTGTACTGAATAGGTTCCCAAACTGGCCCGAAACCTCAGAAAGCAGCAATGACACCGAGGGAAGAAGAAAATGCAGAGCCAGAGCTGGCCGTGAAGAAGAAAGTAGGGATGAATGAGCCGCAAGTATGCAAGAACAAAGGATGTGGGAAGACGTTCAAAGAGATAGAGAATCATGAGACAGCGTGTAGCTACCATCCAGGACCCGCTATCTTCCACGACAGATCGAGAGGGGTATACATATAAACATATATATCATCCATCTCCTTGCTGTTTGTCAGATGTTAAAATGAAATGCCTTGTGAATATTTATTTGTTTTACTTCTATGTGTTGTATGGACAGTGGAAATGCTGCGAGGTTTATGTGAAGGAGTTCGAGGAGTTCATGGAGATACCTCCCTGCTCGAAAGGTTGGCACAACGCTGACCCTATCGCTTGATCCATTTGGTCCAATTGTGAAATTTCTCTGTCATTTTTGCCTTTTTGTTCTTCATTTTTCCTCCGCCTATTTGGAAACGCTATTTGTAGCGGACACTCGGTTTGTCCCTTTGTCTTAAATGTGATCGAATCTTATTCGGAAACTCATTAGATTTTTCCCCTACCAAATTCAACAATTTTGTATCCAATTCGGTTTGGTTTGAAAAAAGAATAATCAAAACGAACTGTACGGAATAATATATTATTGTATATGACTCGAATTTGATGAGTTTTTTTTTTTAAATATGATTATGGAAAATTGTTTTCTAATCGAATATAAAAATGAGTAACAATTATTTTTTTCTAAAAATGAATATTTTGACGGTAAAATTAAAATTGTATAGCAATTAAACGGAATTAATTGTCAATATCAACATTGTTTAATCCTAAATTTATTTAGGGTTGGCAGGATGAATTCTTAGTTTCTATTCATTTTAATTTTGAGTTACTTCTTTCGAAATGGAATTAATTATATATTTTAAATTTAATAAATTTAGACGCAAAGAATTTGAGTCTAAAATTTTTCAATTTTAATATCTGTGTAAAAAAATAAAATCGAAAGGTGTAAAAATTAATATAACAAAACCAGAGGTGTATAATTTTGTTATAAAATTGAAAGGAATATACGTCATGCGGTCGGTGGCTCAGCCGTCTGATATGATCTTCCGAAAGAAAACCCCTTTGAGAGAGACGGATTGGTGGTCTCTTGTCCGCTTCATCTGATGATTATATACTAATTTTAGTTCCTGTTTTTTTTAGCTATTTACAAAACTAGCATTAGGTTATTTGGTAAATTCTCAATCAAAACCTTTTTTACATAGTTATTATCAAATCTCTTTACGAAATTATAATCATAAAAAAAAGTGGAGTCAAACCCATTTGAAACCAAATCAAAATGCAGTACAGAAAGCGTCAGTGTTGAGAATTTGGCAATACATAAAAATACAGCAACTTTACAGAACCAGTCATTGATGAGATGATTAAGCAACGAAAGCCTTCCTCCATAACAGACATTGTAACATGTGTTTTTCCAAGTCCTAAAAGAAGCTTGTTCCGACAGAAAGGTCGATGAGGTTAGAGAGAATCTGAGAACGGGTAGTTCCAATCTGGTTAGCAAGCTCAAGCTGTTCCTCCAATGGCAGCATCTCATAACTGCAATTAATCAAAGATATTTTACAAGAAATCACCCAAAAAAATAAAAAGAAGTGATTTTTCAAACCGTTTTACTACTCTATACATATGATATGACAAGAGAAGAAAAACTTACTGGCTGAGTAGCTCACAGTCAATTACGCTGTCAGGGCCTGGCCGCCGAGCTTTACCACTCGAGTGGAACTGTCGGAAAGAACGCGGGTTCAAACCTGCTACATGAGGAACAGCATCCACGAGCTTTTTCTGTAGAGTCTGAAGCCTACGGAAGGTGAGCTCATCGAGCGGGGCAACACACCCGAAACTTCCATCTAAGGTACCGAACAACAACGCGAACCGATTTGTCTTATCAGCGCCCGGAGATACAACCATCTGCAGACGCAAGAACTTCGTCACGTGGGCACCGACGTGAAACTCTGCCCTCGATAGAAGTTTCTGCCCTTTCCAACTCTCAGACATCCTCGGTGCATAATAGAATATCTGTCCGGAAATCAGTTACAAAGGGTTGTTAGGCTGGTTCTCAAATGTCCATAGTTGAGAATAAGGGTGGCTCTTAAAACCCGATACCCACGGGTTTGCCGGTACCCGCGGTACTTGGCAGCATGCAAGCACATGTGGGACGAGACGAGGAATCCAGACCGCATGTTTGGCTTCGGGTTTTACCATCATGGGACGGGTTGAGGTGTAAAATGGGATTTATACCCCTAGTATTTTAGGGTGATTACAATAATATATAGTATCTTTTTGTGCAAAATTGGGATTTATACCCGTGTTCAACTGGGTCAACAAAACATTGCAAGTTTTTCGCAGGTCCGGGTGCTCAAGTCTGGTGAAGCCAAGACCGAGATATTTTTATCGTAAAACCCGTGAGGGCGAGGCCGGTTACCCTAAAAAAACTCGGGTACTCGACTTGTGCCCACTCCTAACATGACAATATGGATCAAGAGAAAAAAGAAGAAATGATGATGACCTGAATGTTCTTCTGCTCATCAGAGACTGCCAAGCTGAGAGTACTTCCATCAATCAAAAACTCTGAAGCAAAACAATCAAGGGACCCGAAATCCTTGGCCAGTAAGTTAAGCTGGGAACCTTGTTCCTTCCAACTAAGAAAATATATGCTTTTGTGAACATCACCAAGGAGGATGAAATTCTTCACCTGTGCATTACGAGCAAGCCACATACAAGCAAAATAAACAGCGAAAAAGAGAACAATAGAAATGGCAGAAGGTGATGCGTAGTGAAAACAAAAAATTCAATAAATCTTTGGTGAGAGATAGAACATACGATATTCATGCTCACGACGTAGAGGGGAGGAGCATCATAGAAGGCGACACCGTTTAACTCGGTGCCATTCCATTTGTGCAAGATGATTTTAGGACCAGACGCTATTAGAAGATGACCCTGAATCGAGGCTACAGCCGATATCGCACCTTTTAGCTCCTTCGAGTAGACTTCCGAAACCTACAATGGTAATGATGAGAAATAAAAACGCAATCTTTGAGCTTTCGGCAGAGAAGGCAAAGGATCTTCTTAATCTGAATACGAAAGACCAAACAAGCATAAGGGTTAAACCAAAGTTGAAGGGCAAATCTAAAAATACCAAATTCTGAGAGTTATCATCGTTCCTTCCAATTGAGAATAGAAGCACACGGCCCCTCGCAGCAACATCCTCTCCTTGCACATAAGCGGTTCCAGCAGCCAGAAGTGTCTCATTCTCTTTCGTTGTCACGTTCTGAAACATGCCATGAAGTAAGAAAATTCGGCTCGGTGCTATTGCATCTAAATTAGATAGATTGAAGATTCTAGAGTTGGGTTTTGCTAATCTACATCCCCGAGCTGTGATGCAAGTGGCATGCTTCAAATTACAGTAAATCTACATATCAATACTACTTGGTAACAGCCTTTACATGGGAGGAAAGCTGCAGTAAAAGGAAAGGAGATCTTCTAACTTACAAGAAGTGTGACAACGCGCACGGTCAGTGCATTTTCTGAACTCTGCATTGGAATAGTGGCTTTAGTTTCCCAAGGCCCACCACTTCTTTCCGGTTCCATAATCCGAATTTCGTATTCATCCACAGTGTAAGTCCTTTGGAGGTCTTCGGAACTTAGATTATGACTGTCCATCTGCTGGCCAGCTTCTTGATCAACTAGTGAAGACATCACTTGATTTAATGACTTGTTAACCTTTCAAAAAGCAGAGAAACAAAATCTAAATTAACCTCAGATGCAAAAATAGAGATAAAACCTGTCTGAAACGCAGAAAAGATTAAATCAGTTATCATGCTAACACACTCACAGGAAAAGATACTATGATTGGATACAGATTCTTCTCAGAGTAGTATGTAACTTGATGAGGCGTAGCCTTAAGAGGAACCTAGACAAATATTGGCATTAAAGTTAATCAGCACAAAAATACTTCATCAATTTTTTTCACAAGTATTTCATCAGTTCATATCTTAATTAAAAAAAAGATCGATGTAAAATATGGAAAGTGATGCTTACTTTCTGTACTGGCCAATAATTATCGTAGATTGATGCAGAAGGAAGTTGGCAAATCTTCAAAATTCCCTATTAATTGGAAACATGCACTGAATTCTCTTTCCACAAACCAGCTGCTATTATTACATGAAAAGAGAAGAGGAAATACAGAAAGTAAAAATGATGTGGAGAGAAACAATTAGTATACCTGTGATGTAACATATATGAACCCGCGATTGCAATTCACGTTGTGGAGGACCGTGAAGGCCACAATTGACCCATCACATAGCTGAAAAAAGAGGGCAGCCATACAAAGGAGCTTGCTTAAGCAAATATTATAAGAGCTATGTAAAAGATGAAAACCAACAAAGATATAGGACTGAAACATTAACTTACAGAAACTCAAATTTACTCTTTTAGACACAAAAACCATAAAGATATTCTTCAGTTAACAGCCTGCAATTATCTTACCTGCGGATGAAATCGAAGCCGCTCTCTGAACAACATACACCATCCAGGTCTTGAACCAGAAAGGAAAAACCCTTGGTGACCACTAATGTTCTTGAACATGGTAATTCTTTGGGCTAAAACTCCATTTGAAGCCTCCTCTCTTGTGAATGTGTCCAAGGGAATACGGAGAAACTTCAGATTTCTAAGCTTAGAAGCACCAGAAGAAGCATTTAGGCCAACAGGGTTTGGCAAGGAAACAGGGTTCTCAGCTTTAGTACCATCAACACCCTCATACAGGAACGCATGGTAACAGAGAATGGTGCCATCGGCCAATATTGCAAAAAGGAAAGGACGAGTATGATTCCCCGACCATCTCTGCATAGATACCTCAACAACTTTTGTTTTCTGAATATTATCTTTCCTAGTGGCAGCACCACCCTCCGAGGTTTTGTCGAGCTCGGACTCTGATTCTTGAATAGGCATATCATAGAGGTGGGTTCTTCCAGATGCAAATTTATCAACAGAGAAAACACAACTAAAACCGAACACATCAAATATCTCAAGAGCGCCAGTTTCATAACAGAGAACACAGTATATGTCACCCTGATCTTGTGGTCCACCATCACCACCATCAATGGCCTCTCCAACTCCAGAAGAAAGCCATGCATCAGTGCTTGCTTTCCGTAGCCAAGGCTCAAGGCCTTTATCGTGGTACAAAGTACAGGCAGATATCTTCTTTTTGGAGCTTTCAAGTATAGCTGGACTACTTATGGATACCGTACAAGTAGAAGGATCTGCGATTCAAAGTCCCAGGTGAGACTCCTTCAAAGTGAAACAGCAAAGACAAACATCATATACACAAGCTTTATGAGAAAAGGAAACCATCCTAGAGTCACACCAACTGATGCACAAGCACATGCATATATCAACAACCATTAAAATACAAATAATGTCAAAGAGATGGATGCTGAACCATCTACTGGAAACTTTCAAGAAGTCAGCATAAGAGACATGCTGCACAATCCTATAGCTTACTTATGACTTAAAACAACTAGCTTTTTTTCTATAATTATCAAAACTAACATTAAAATTACAAACAATCAAATCTAACAAAATTTTATAAGAAAAAGACATTTTTATCCAAGGTTTGAGTTTAAATTATAATACTAGGGTTTAAGCTTTTTTTAAATTAAGGGTAATGTTTTTAATCTTTTCACACACTAAAACTAATTAGCTATAATAAATAGGACAATCAATGTTAATTACAATATATTATCTCAAAATCTGTTATTTTAGATTGTTGCCCCAAGAAAGAAAAAGAATATTTCAAGACATACAGATAAAAACTCTTGCAAATAGCCAAATAGGCATCAATTTTTCTAAAACATACCTCCAATAAGCAGCCGGATACTGTCATCTGTCATTCTAAGTAAGACATATGGATCAGCAATTGAAACAGATGAGACTGTGGAACTTTCAGAACCAGAACTGGATTCTGAGTTAGGAGCTCCAAAGCTTAACTCTTGAGTCATAAAAGAACCATCCAGAATGCGAGCACCATGTTCAAAGACTTGAATAACCCGGCGCCTGAAAAGGGAATGGAATAGGTACAAGACTCAGTTATTCTGTAGTTGCATGTAGTACTCCATTCTCAAAGGAAGCCACGAAAAAGTTAAGGGCAACACGTGATGATATAAATATATAGTTAAAAACATGGTGGAAACAAAATATAAGAAAGTATATATCTAGAGATGCGGTATAACAGGATTAGACAGTTGATAACCTTCCAAACAAGTTCCCAGCGGCAACTGTTCTTCCCTGAACATAATAGTCCACAGTTTCAGTGACTTCTGTGAGAAGGTCGGCAGTTTCAAGAACCTGATACACCAAAAATGTTACATGTACATCCTTTGAAAAACTCAACAAAAAAGATATTCTACAGACAGCAGATGCATTCAAACTTCAAAGAAACAAAATGTATACAGTATATACCATTGTGCGATTTTCCAAGCTTATAATCAAATAAGCATGATATTCATCTTCATCAGCAGCCACTTTAGAAGAATCAACATTATGACCACGAGAACTCTTGTGATAAACTGTCCATATTCCTTTGCAGCCTGGGAGTTCAACCTACCAAAGGAAAATGAAAAACATAGAATGCTTGAGGATCAAGTGAGTGGATTGCAAACAAAATAGAGTGTGTCAGATACATTCCTGGTCTCCACTGTTGTCTTCCATCTCCTACTCAGCTTTTCACATAACTCTTGAAAATGGATTAATATTTTTGCATGCTCATTTTCTACTTCAGTACTTTGCATAAATGAATGTACCACTCTTATGAAATGATAGTGGATGGATTAAACCAATGTCAACAGCATTTACTGTCAAGGCTAATGAATTCAATCATAGAGTAGAATAAGAAAATCTTGGCTACACGAGAGTAATGGACATAAGGACTTAAATATTGATCGATGATTAATAAATAATAGATTTTCCCGTTCATCAAGTAGAAGAACAGTAAATAATTTGGTAAATGGACATACCTCAGTTATCATTTCTGGTCTAATTGACTGCCGAAGAACACATAAAGAGCCATTCTTCCCATGACCTGAACAGCACACCTAAAAGCAATAATTCAAAACAACCAGTTCATCATTAAGCGAAAAGAAAAGTTGCTATTGATAAATACATCTCTATATAAAATACAAACAAGTATGTATGTATGTATGTATGTATGTATGTATATGCATATATGAAAGACTTTCAAGGCTAATGATAGACTGCAATGAAATATAAAACAGGGACTTGCCAATTCATAATTGCTCTGTTTGGAAATCCCAGTGGCATTTGCATCAGCACTGATCCTTAAGCCATATGCAAAATCTTTCACTGGACCAACATTAACTAGTGAATCCCTCACTGCGAATGAAAATGATTTCTGCGTTTATAGGAAGAAAAAATGAGAAACATCTTGGACGAAAAACATAGACCACCAAACTTGAAAAGACAAGATAGATCTTGCAATCTCCACAAGTATGAACTATTTTCTTGATTTCACTACTACAGTAGAATTTTGCTCAACATGCCCGAAAAACTTTCAATAGCAATGACGAGTACATATCCACAGCAAAATGATGAATATATGTAAAAGATTTGTGCTAGGAACCATTTCCCTAGTCAAAATAGCAATGCCATCTAGTGCTCTTGAAGTCTACTGCAACATGCATCGATTGGACATAGTTGTCGGAGAACTAGCTTCATTGCCATATCCTCTTCAAATAAATCAGAATACACTACTACCTGCGCTGAATCAGAGTTATTTGCAGCTGAACCATACAATGAAAGCTCTTCACCACCAATTGTATCTTGAAATGTTTCTGAAGACATCCGTAAACGTTTTGCTTGATGACCATCACCTTCAATATCGTCACACTGTACAAAATTATGTCATCGATTTGTTCAACTTCAGAGAAAAAAACATTTCAACTATTTGGCATAACAAATGCAATTTGCTGTGACCGGCCTGTAAAAAAGGCCGGGTAAATCAAGCACACAATATAAAACTAATCCCAATCCTGCAGCTTAGGTCATGAGAATGTTCAAATATCAAAATAAGAATTAACCAGAAACCCAACTATTACCTCATCTTTTAGACCAGGTAATGATGCTGGGCCTCCAGACCGACAGGAATACTGCACGAGTAAACTGTCTCCCAGCCTGCTACCTAGAAAGAACAGGGAGCTTCCAACACTACTAATGTCCTGCAAAAAAAAAAAAAATTGGCAAACATCCTTAGTGGTGCTCCGACTGAAACAGTCTACAAACTTCAATAAATCAAGCACAAAACTCTTTAAAGAACATATGACTAACCGAAGTAAGCACAGAAGCTTTTGATTTCGAAAGATCAAGTCTCTGTACAACACTTGAAAAAGACAAAGTAGCAGCCAGATGTTATATAGGCAATAGAGAATGAGACTTCACTTTGAAAGTAACGAAAAGTAGGGAAAACTACAGTGGGTATGCATTGTGGAAAGCAACAATGAAGAATGCATAAAACGCAGTAGTTGTTCAATAATTTTAACAATTCTTCAAATTGTAAGTTTGTAACTCTGAAATAGTGGGATCAATTAGTTACCGCCCATCATAAATAAGAGTCAACAGCAGCAATTCCCCAGTTTTTGTTGACAACAAGGCTACATCGTTTGATATCCATGTTGCACGGGCAGCATCCAGTTCCACACTGAAATTTGATCTAGGCAAGTCTTGACTGGAATAAGATGGAAAAAAAACATGGTCAACACTGTATAAAGTACCACAAGCAACCAAGCCCGTAAACCCCTAAAAGTTGTTCTAAGCTAGAGGACTCCATATACAAGACAAGAAAGTAGTGTTCTCGTAAACAAAACAGAAGACAGAGTTCGGAAAAGCGTGGACTGAATGAAGAACAGAAGTATAACCTGCTATCAAATGAAGCGGCATAATTGTTCAGTGCCAGAGCACACGAAGCTGACTGCATAGGAAGAATATGGTAAGTTAGAAGAGTAAGCATCATACAGAATCATATAAAATGGAAATCATATAGTCAAAGAAAGATTAGTTCCAAATTACCACCAAAAATGCCCAGTGCTAATTGAAATCAGCCTACCTGACTGTGATAATGGATTGTGTTTGCACTCAAAACCAGAACACCCCCGATTGGAGATGGCACCGCAAGTATTTTGTAGGCATCATGTGGCAGATTCTAAAAGAGTGTCAAAAGGAAACGGAATAAGTTGGCCAACGACCAAAGTTTGCAGAAGGAACTACATAAAAATTTTCAGCTTGTATGCAGTAGCTCATTCTTCTAAGAATCTAATAATCAGAGAGGACAAGAGAGTTTTAAAAACATAAATAAAAAACTGCATATTTCTATTTGTACATTAGCCAGATTGAAAAGCCTAGTCGTCTTTGATGCAACTTATATATGGAGTTTTAGGTGACTTTATTATCAGATTATCTTTGACACAAGTGTCTTTTCTAAAATAAAATTGGGAAAGCAAGAACATACAGCAGCTGACCATATGACGGGGTGCTGTTTCAATGTCGTATTGATACTAAGGGCTGAAAGCATGCAAGTATGCTGCTTCCATGAAACACGCCCAGCCCAGGTATGCTCTCCCTCGTGAAGGATGACAATTACAGGCTCAATATATCCTGAACAAGACCCAATATATAAGAATATATATACAGAAAGGCAAGCAAGACTTACTACTCAATATTTTGTGATTTGGCACGTCTAAATATTCAAAAGAGCAGCTGCTGGAGAAATCAACTCAACAACACACATACTGTTCTCCAAAGTCAATGTCCATGCATTCAATGTCCGTATATACAGATAACTCCTTGTTGAAAACATAGATTGCTGTTTTATTACATCTAAAATTAGCCAGCTAGAGCCACTCAAGAAAACTGGATATAAAAGAAACTTGGAGACACTTTTGACGACAGTTAGAAACCTAAGAACTAAAATGCGATAAAATACTAACATAAAGGATCACAACATTAAGCAGTTATAGTCCATAAGAGAAGTACAAAAAAGATACAGCAAGAATATATCTTGTTTTTTTTTGCTGGAATTTTCATAGAGAACAACAAACAAGACACTTGCTAGCTAACTTACCGTGTAGAAAAACAAAATCTTTTACATGTTTCATGTCCAAATCTCGCAAGTTAATTATATATGACGACTCAAAGCGAGCAGAAACTGCCCCCCCGGAACTGAAAGCATCATCATCTCCAACTAACACAGAGCCAACCTGAAATAAGAACTTAAAACTCTTAAGGGAAAATAATGGAGGCTCAATACTCTCAGAAGAAAATCCTGATAGAGTAACAGAATAGAAGAATAGAAGGGGGGCCATTTTGTTGTAGATGGTGAACGTTGTCATATTGCCCATTACTTATAAAAAATTAGCGGACTTAAGGGAATCTATGCTCTTAAGTCAATCCAGAGATGTAAAAGAAGACCTGAGAAGACTTCAGTATTATCATCTGCAAACCGTAAACAAGAACACCGCCACACCTGCCTTGAGGATCCACGCTTACCGATGGGCCTCGTGCAAATGACTCTCTTCCTCTTTTCAGATGAAGCCATTCTGGACCCTCAAAACAGTGCATCGAGCTGAAATGAGAGACATCACCCATTAGTTTCCCTGAAGGACAAGAATGATGCCTACACTGCATAACCAAACAGAGATGCTAAGACAAAATTTGGAAAAACATTTGACGATTTCACGTGCCAGCATTAGAGAAGAGTCGGATACAAGATTGAAGTGAAAATATCGAATGGTTGAAAAGAAGGATCGACTTGGACAGTAGGACACAAACTATTACTGCTAGAGAGAGACAAGAGAATTCCTGGCACAATGGATTCGGATTCTAAGTTCTTTGATTACAGAATTAACAAACGAATGGAGAACACTCTTACATAGTTCGAAGACCGTGAATCGAATCATCAAATTCAAGAACTGAAATTTTGGCGTCGCGAAAAGCCATCACGATAGAATCTCTTCCCTTAGAACCATTGCCGCCCCCCATGGGTAGCACCGCAATTGACTCGACATTACCATGCAATCTGCAATTCGATAACGAAGAACAGACTCAGTTCGACAAAAGCAAACAACGGGAACAGACTCAGTTCAATTGACTCAACATTACCATGCAATATGAGACCCATCAAATTGAATTACCTGTAGTGGCAAACGAGCTCGAGAGAGACGCCGGAAACACCGTCCATGACTCCGCCGCGCTTAGCATGCCTCGGGTTCTTCAGCTCCTGACCGTTTCCTTCCTCCTGAACCCTAACGACGTACACCTCAAGTACATTCCCGGCAGAGACAACGAGATTGGGCACGGCCCCGATGCCGCGCTTGGATGAGGGCCACTCCGCCTCGAGTTCATCGGCGGGAATCGCCGGAATCTGAGGAGCCGAGTCGGCGCGTGAGTGGGTGATGTAGCCGGAAGCGCAGTTCTCGACGCCGGTCGGGCAATGCATCATCTTGAAGGCCGCGAAACTCATGTTTTTCGGTGTCGAATTCGAAATGGGGATTCAAAGATTCGTATTTCAGAAGAAATGGATGGAGAAATCAGTGAGACTGAGAAATTTAGGGTTTTGTGGTGCGAATAAAAAAGGTCAAACCTTTAAAACCCCTGGGTTTAAAGAGAGAGCGGTGGCGCTTGTCGTTTATATATTTAGCCGGCTTCCAATAAAATAACGTTACAGTCTAACAGATCATGTGATTTTTTCACAATCCGAGAAGAAGAACAATGAAAGATTCCTGTTTCTGTTGAGGGACTGAATCAAGATCATTCAAGCATGCTATTAGATGGAAAAACAAATTAAAAATTATATGTTGTTAGTTTAAATTTGGATTTCGGAATTTAAACTTATACAGTCGAATACCGGTTTCAATATTTGGTTCGAGAATAGTCCGATTCGATTCTTTCAGTTTTACAAAAATATATATCAATCGGGTATTATATCATATTCGGTTCAGTTCGATTCTGTTTTTTTTTTAAGAAATTTTCGGTTTTTCATAATTTTTTTTTTAAATTCGGTTTAAGAAAATTCGTTTTTTTTAAATACCGTTTGAAAATTTTGAACGGTTTGGTTCCGATGAACCGTATCCAAAAAGATGCTCTTTGTTAATTCGTGTAATGAAAATGGATGTTTGTTAGTTTTTTTTCCCGATAACATCGAATTGTAAAAAGAAGTTGTGGATTTCTGATAGTGCAGTTTTTTTAGAAAATGTTATTAGTTGTTCTTACGAAATTGTATAGATTTTTGTGGTTGGGTCCTGAATTTAAAAATTCGGAGCAGAGGTTTAGATTTTGCTTGGATTGGTACTTTCCCACAATCTGTTCTTGATGGTTCTTCTGGCTATCGATTCGATTCGATCATATAAAATCGAGTTGAATAATATTTAACGGTATTAAAATCGGATTTAACATAAATATAAAATCTGAATATATATGATTTTTCTAAATAAATAAAAACTAATTATTAACTAAACGCCAATTGATCGTATCTTCGTCGATAAAAACGAATTCGTATCAAAATTAAACCGAACTAGATCTAATACTAAAGGCTAATATATATGTTTTTTATTATAAAATCTCAAAAATCAAATCCAAGTACAACATAATCCAAGGTGAACCAAAACGGAAATGTCATTTATATCGTAATATTTAAAAAAAAAAATTAAAATTATCACATTGAAAGTGAAGATAAAAACAGTTTAAGAAAATCTTATGAAAACAACAAAAATTCTTCAAAAAAAAGTTAATATTTTTTAATTAAAACTAAATCCAAATTTGGTCCATATAAATCAAATCGAACCAAAACAATCAAATGAATAGAAATTTTACAAAACCAAAAAAAATCAAATTCAAAAATATCCAAACCAATTTCCATGAAATATTCAATACACATAATTTAAATGTGATAATTTGTCTTCTAAAAAATCAAAATAATTTTGAGATGTTTTTAAAAATATATCATTCTTTATTGGTTAAAACTTCGTGTCCTAACCTAATTGGTTTGGTCAAGGTGGAGATAGAAACAGATATGGACTTGGCGAAGCCCATACAATTGTTGGGCCCTAAACGTTCCAACCTCATAAAGCATCTCAACCGTTCATCGGAACTATTAACGGTCCAGATCAATTCTTATCTGAACGCGCGATACACTGGATTGTGGCCCCTAAAACTCCGATTTGAATTTCAAACCCGTTGTTAAAAAAAAAAAATCAATTCAGGGTCCGTTCATGTGAATTGAAAAAAAAATCCTTCCGTTTTATCATCAACGAGCGCACTTTAAGACTATAACGGCTACTTTCCTCCTCTCTCTCTCTCTCCAAAATTCTCGATCTGTGTCTCTGAATCGCTGTTTCAATTTCAGAAACTTTCAAGCATAATCGACGAATTTCTCTGATCTTCTTCTTCCTCGGATAGTTTCAGTGTCAGATCAAAGCTTCAATTCTGGAAAGTCTCCGAGAAATCTCCCGTTTCAGGCAAGTGTGTGCGTGTGTGTTCGGGTCTTCGGTTTTTTTATACGTTCGTCATCTGTGTATGAGAGCTTCGTATGTCCTGCTAACAAGTTTTTCATGAAGGTTTCTCTTCAATCACTTGAAAATTTTGAAAATTGCTGCTTCCGAAGCTGGTAAATCTTAATCGTTAACCATCCACTGCTTTCGAACAGTTTTGTTCCAGTTTAGTGGCACCTACGGTTTAGTTTCTGCCCTAGATTGTAAGTGGGCAAATTGGGTCAGGGGTTTTTGTTTCAGAAAATTTCCGGATAAAACTTAATTCACATTGCGGTCTCTGGTCTGGTTGAATATTAGAGGTTATAACCAATTGACGCAATTAGGTAATGAATGATCTTATTGCGGTGTTTGTTTGTGTAATCTTTAGTTTCTCAATTTACTTATAGAGGTCATTTTCAAGAAATCTGCACTCAGAAACTCAACTTTGGACTTATAAACTTTTTCGGATATGAATGTGTGTCATGTTTCTCCATCCATGCATTCGACTGTTTTTAGTCACGGTTTTCTCAAAACTCCATAAAAGCGATTGTACAAGCAGCAGCATATGGAAATTTCCCAGTTTTTCTGCTTCTCTTGGGGTCTTTGTTAGGAGAATGACATGTTGCGGTTCCTTTCCGTTGATAGGCAGAACCACTTCAGCATGTCGATTGTTCAAAGCAGCCCGCTTCTTCAATTGGAAACCACATGCGGATCACTACTATATGAGCTCCAGGTTAGTCGCTGCACGTTTTAGAAAAGATTTCATCTTTCATGAGTTCTATATCTGGGATTTGTTTGCTCTTGTCATGTTCCATCATAGAGGGGGTATGATTGCCATGCTTGTTTCTTTGTTTATGAATCAGATCATTTGGGATGAAGTCGGAGAAACAGAAGCTGAAAGGGATAAGATGTTGCTTGAGCTTGAACGCGAATGCCTGGAAGTGTACAGAAGAAAGGTTGACCATGCAAATCGCTGTAGAGCTCAGTTAAGGCAAGCAATCGCTGACTCCGAAGCACAGCTAGCAGCTATCTGTTCTGCCATGGGGGAGCGCCCTGTGCATATTAGACAGGTTAGTTATTGTTAGTGTTACTTGGAAAAGAAAGACTTGTTTAAATAGGAATTGCCAAATCTGGCTAACAATGACCAGACATGTTGGTCCTTTTTCTTTTGAAGGAAGTAACTAATGTGTTTTTTTCATAACAGAATTCCATTGCTTATATTAATTGTTCTTAACCTTTTCAAGCATTTATGCCTCTGTACATGCTGAATTCACCTCTTGGTTCCCTGATTCAGTCTGATCAAAATGCTGGAAGCTTGAAAGAAGAGCTTGAGTTGATTTTACCTCAGCTGGAAGAGATGCAAAAGAGGAAATCAGAAAGAAGAAATCGACAGAAACCATGTTAACTATCACCAGAGTGATGGCGCTTCAGCTTTATCAACCGGTAAGCTTTCTTCATTTGAAAGTTTGTATGCAGTTTAAGATTCAAACCATTGCCTGAAAAGATTCAAGGGTAAGAACAATGATCATTCGGCGAAGTGTAAAAATCATTTCTGGTTACACTCAGCATGAGAATTTTGTGCAGCTGTGATTACTCAAATGCATTGATCACCTTGCAGGAAAGAGATGCCTGGACATAGCGGGAGTTTCCACGAGAAAACAGTCCATAAACTCCTATGAACAGCTTCAATCCCCGCTCGTGCGAAAGCCTTTCTCATCCATCTCTTCTGCGGTGGCATCCAAAGCCAACATAACAGCACCTCCAAACCCGAAAAACAGCAGCGACCCGTTACAGAAAACTCTGATCCCAACCATGAACGAGAACACACCATTCACAACTCCTCTCAAGAACAGCAATACAGTCTTGGAAGAAGAGAAACAAACACCAAAGAACATACCCATCATCCCTCTTCCATGTACACCTGCGCAGGAACATCGTTCTTCTACGGCACTTATCGATGAGACTGATTTGTCTCTGAGAAAGCTTGACGAGTTACATGTCCAACTACGTACCCTTCAGAAGGAGAAGGTTATGTCTGCGCCTTTTATATAGTTATCTCATCGGTTTGTTTTGAATTTCCTTTTATTTATTCATAAAGGTGTTATTTTTCCTCAGATTGATCGCTTGGAGAAGATTCAGGAGCATCTGGGTACTTTGTACTCCCTTTGTTCAGTGCTTGGAATGGATTTCAAAGATGTCGTTGGCCAAGTTAATCCAACATTAGCTGATCCAGAAGGACCAAGAAACATAAGTAATCATACTATCGAGCAATTGGCCACCGCAGTCCAAAAACTGTGGGAGGTTAAGATACAGAGAATGCAGAGGGTACCTACTAAACTTTTTTGGTGAACAATATAAACGTATTTAACTGTCAATGAGCATATTCGCCTATTTTATTTTGCAGCTTCAAGACCTTGCAACAGCCATGTTGGAGCTCTGGAACTTGATGGACACACCTATAGAGGAGCAACAAGAGTTTCAACATGTTACCTGTAATGTAGCTGCTTCAGAACATGAGATAACTGAACCCAACAGTTTATCTGAAGACTTCCTAAAATATGTAAGTTGCTGAAAAATTTTTGTGCAAGATTTCTGTAGTATTATCGCCTGTTTTATATAACTTACGCAAGCTCCGAGCTTATGCAGTGACTCAAAACATTACGTTTATGCCATGTGTAGGTTGAGGCAGAAGTTGCCCGATTGGATGAGGTGAAGTCCAGCAAAATGAAAGAACTTGTCCTGAAGAAGAAGTCAGAGCTCGAGGAAATATGTAGGAAAATTCACCTGGTGCTGGTGTCAGATAATGCAATCGATCATACCATTGAGGCGATGGAATCGGGTATTTGTTTTTCTCCCGTCACATCACAGAATCCCTTCAAATACAAGAGTTTTGTATTGACTCAAGAATTTCTTTCTTCACTTTCCCTTGTGTAGGAGTTCTCGATGCCACAATGATTTTGGAGCAACTTGAGCAACAGATTTCTAAGATCAAAGAGGAAGCATTGAGTCGAAAAGATATACTTGAAAAAGTCGAGAAATGGCTAGTAGCATGTGATGAGGAAAGCTGGCTTGAAGAGTACAATAGGGTTAGATTCAGAATCTCAGTATTCTTCCTAAGATCATTAACTGTGTTACATTTACTAACTCCTTTTCTTTTAATAGGATGATAACCGATACAATGCTGGAAGAGGAGCTCATCTCACTCTCAAGCGTGCTGAGAAAGCTCGCAACCTGGTTAATAAACTTCCAGGCAAGTTTGGCACCCATATGACAAACACATGCATACAACTCTCAAGTGATTATGACTTAGTCTGTCTTTTGTTCTTTCAGGAATGGTCGAGGCATTGGCCTCAAAGACTATAACCTGGGAACAAGAGATGGGAATCGAGTTTTTGTATGATGGTGTAAGTGCCTTATATGAAACGGCGTTGTGATTCTGGTCTTTGAGTTTACTTCTGTATATTCTATCTAAATAATTTTATCCTCTTTTGTTATAGATTCGCCTACTTTCCATGCTTGAGGAGTATACCATACTGCGACAGGAGAAAGAAGAAGAACGTCGTAGGCAGCGGGTATAACTATGGTTTTCCAGTCAGAACACGATCATTAGTCCTAATGTACTCGATTTTATGCACTGTTTTTTTACATGTTAAAAGGATCAGAAGAAGCTCCAAGGGCAGCTCATAGCAGAGCAAGAGGCGCTTTACGGGTCAAAGCCCAGCCCTTCGAAACCCCTCGGCAAAAAGGCTCCTAGAATGTCAACTGGTGGAGCAACCGCCAACCGGAGACTCTCTGTTGGAGGAGGAATGATTCAGACACCTAAACCTAACAAGAAAGCTGACCAGTCCCTTGACAGAAACCATGTTAACTATCACCAGAGTGATGGCGCTTCAGCTTTATCAACCGGTAAGCTTTCTTCATTTGAAAGTTTGTATGCAGTTTAAGATTCAAACCATTGCCTGAAAAGATTCAAGGGTAAGAACAATGATCATTCGGCGAAGTGTAAAAATCATTTCTGGTTACACTCAGCATGAGAATTTTGTGCAGCTGTGATTACTCAAATGCATTGATCACCTTGCAGGAAAGAGATGCCTGGACATAGCGGGAGTTTCCACGAGAAAACAGTCCATAAACTCCTATGAACAGCTTCAATCCCCGCTCGTGCGAAAGCCTTTCTCATCCATCTCTTCTGCGGTGGCATCCAAAGCCAACATAACAGCACCTCCAAACCCGAAAAACAGCAGCGACCCGTTACAGAAAACTCTGATCCCAACCATGAACGAGAACACACCATTCACAACTCCTCTCAAGAACAGCAATACAGTCTTGGAAGAAGAGAAACAAACACCAAAGAACATACCCATCATCCCTCTTCCATGTACACCTGCAAGTGTCTCTGTCTCTGTCTCGATGCAAACCGCTATAACTCCTGCTCCAGTTCCATCCCTCGCCTCGGCTGCACCATTGTCAGCGAGATTGGCAGAAGAGACAGAGGAAGTGGAGTACTCGTTCGAGGAAAGAAGGCTCGGGTTTGTGGTTCAAAGCACGAGGGCTAACCCTATGATCCAAGTTTGAGCTTTTGCATCAATCTTTTGAGGTGATGAGTGCAGAAAAAGGAACTCATATTGAGTGTGGATTGGCTTTGGTTTCTTCAAGTTTGGGATAGGTCAATTACATGATTGGCTTTTCCTAAGCTTCAGTGTGTATAATTCCATTCATCTACGGGTCTTAGGGACTGTGACAATGACTGTTGAATCCTTTTTTCTCAGAATGATACTGCAAATTTAACGGTCTGAAACACACGTTGAAATAAAAAAGCTGTAAATTATTAAACTATTTAAAAAATAATACCCCTAATTATTTTCTAATTTATTTTATTTGTATAATAAAATTAGAAACACAAACAGAAAACTATTCTACCTTTTATTACATATCTCATACTCTTTTCTGCACGTCTAGTTTGGATGAATCTTAAAATTAAAATTCGTTTGAGCTCTATCTATAAGCTTGGGGCCATAGAGTTCTCTATCTAAAATGCTTGATTAAAATCTTCCACAAAATTTTCATGTTTTTTAAGTTCTCCTATGATAGACATTTTAGAAATTCACTTTATTTTTATTTGAATTTAAATTTAAAAATATATCATTTCAATTTTTTCTACTGCGTTCTGTATTTCAATTTGTTTTATTTTGTTTAGATTCAGTTTATATAATTTTTTTAAAAAAATATTTATATTTGAAATATTCGTTTTTATTAATATCATATTTCTAAATTTATTTTAAAATATCTGATTTAATCTATTTATATTAGGTTCAGTTGAAATATATTTATCATATATGGGGGGAGGGTAAATTAGTCAAAGTGCTGGTTTGGTCAACTGTCTGATGAAGAGTTAGACCGGAAAAGGACACAGAAAGGTATGTCTACTGTCTTCTTATGTTGTAGGAAATTGGACAATTTGCCATTTGGCTCAAACGTTACGTTAGCTATTACAGCTTTTTTCCCTCGCGTATATTTTCTTATACAAAACTTTATTATTTTTCTTTCGTCTCATAACAATTTTGTATTAAATTAAATAACTTATCTTTTATTAAATTCCCAAATTCCAAGATGGTCGCCAAGATTTATAATTTTTGAATTTCGAAATTAGCAAAGATTAATATATATATATATATACATATATATAATCGGATTTACCTCTTCAAGTTTCTCTCTCTTTCTTTTTTGTTTAAATAGAAAAGAAATACAATATCGTTTTTTGTTTGTTTTATAGCTAATTTTATTTTATTTATTTTCTCTTTCTAATCTTGCAAAACCCTAATTTTGACTCACCTGTAGAGAAATTCCTTCCCTTAAACTTAACCACCCGTAGAAAAAACACTTTTCATTTTCTTTTCTGGTAATTATGGATGTTTTTTAGGAGAATTTTCTCAAACTAAATCGTCCGCCATGGAAGAAGCTCTGTTCCTTCCCTTCACTTTCTGCTCCTGATCTGGTTGCATAACTACTCTCTTTTAAAAAAAAACCCAGAAATTTTCATCTCTCTCTCTTCCCTGTTTCGAATCTTACAAGCTCCGGATCTTTCAGTTTCTCTGTTCTGTACTTTAAGGTACTTGTGGATACCCATATCTCGCAAAAGCTCGAATCTTCCGTGATCACCAAGATTCGGCGGTCTTAGGGTTTTTCTGGGTTTTCCAAATTTGTGGGAATCTCCTCGCAGAATCACTGACCTTATGTCCGAATGGAGGAGAGAGAAGGAACCAACAATATCGGTTTCGGCCTGAAGCAACATGGAGCTTCTGATGGTTACCTCATGGACCCACCTCCACCTCCACGCCCCGAAAACCCTAGCCTGTTCCCGGGTCCCACCAGCTCCTCCTCCGCCGCAGCCGTGACGGCGACGGAAAACGCGGCTCCTCCGTTCAGCTTAACAATGCCCGCGGAGAATCTGTCCTCCGACCCGAAGAAGAGGAGAGGACGACCGAGAAAGTACAATCCTGATGGCACACTCGCTGTGACTCTATCTCCGATGCCCATCTCGTCTTCCGTACCGTTGACGGCGGAGTTTCCGCCCCGGAAACAAGGAAGAGGACGAGGAAGAGGAAGAGGAAGAGGAAGAGGAAGGTCCTCTAGATGGCTCGAGAAGTCTCAGATGTTCGAATTCGACAACCCAGGTGATGTTTTCAGCTGCAGTTAACTGTCTTTCTCCGAGCAACTACTGTTCTTTAGTTGACATACTTTTACGACATATCTGTAAGGAGCTTTATAGATTCGTTCTGTTCTGGAACTGGAACTAGAACTGGAACTGTTATTCATCTTATCCTATATTGGATCTGTCTGTTGTTTCGGTTTACCGTTGGTTGACTAGTGTGATGTTACAGTAGGAACATAACTTTGTCTGATACGCAAGTGAAACATCTGCAAGAACAAATCACTGGCTTGGAAAAGGGAACCCATCATAAAGTTTGAATCTTTACAAAATTCCCAGAAGAAGATACAACTCCGGCTCTTTGATCAGAGGGACAGAACAGAAGCATTAAGATTTCCGAATTATCCTGTCTTGCTTGTCTCTCTTGTTACCTTTTGTAGTTAGATAATGACATAATGTGGATTGTGTAACGTAGAACGGCTTTCTAATGTCGGATCTTTTCTGATTTCATTTTAATTTGGCCTCTTTTACGTTTTCAGATTCATCGAACGCCAAATTTACGTCGGTAGGAAGTGCAGATTTTCTTGGCGCGAGTTTTACGCCTCATGTGCTCACTGTTAATGCCAGTGAGGTATGAAATTGAAGATTCTTTATACGTTCTTGCAGTTTTCGGAGCATTCTTCTCGGAAATCCACTTGGTTTCCATACTAGAACACTGTACTCAAGAATCATTTTGAAGTTTGGTTGCTATGAGAACGTAGCGAGCTGATCTTGACATATCTTTAATGGACTCGTCTTTCGGGTTTTATTAGATTCTCGGGTTTCTAACCTTCGGGAATTTACAGGACGTGACGATGAAGGTAATGACATTCTCGCAGCAAGGTTCTCGTGCTATCTGCATTCTCTCAGCAACCGGCCCCATTTCCAATGTTACGCTTCGCCAGCCCATGACTTCCGGTGGCACTCTAACTTACGAGGTCTGTTTTCTGATATGTGATAGTACATTTGTCGATTGAACGAAACAGATTGTGCAATCTTCGAGGGTTTTTTTTTCACCTTTGTTCATTTGTTTTCATCAGGGTCGTTTCGAGATTCTCTCTTTGACGGGTTCATTTATGCCAAGCGAGAGTGGAGGGACTCGGAGTAGAGCTGGTGGGATGAGCGTCTCCCTTGCAGGACCCGATGGTCGTGTATTCGGTGGAGGACTTGCCGGTCTCTTTATCGCCGCTGGTCCAGTTCAGGTATCCCATCAAGTTTCTCCATCCATCTGTACTAAAATCCGAAAGACAAGCTTCGAAATCATTCATCTATCTGTCTGTCCCAAACTTGCTTTCATCACGTGAATTCTCCGTCCTAATCGTGTTCTCGTTCTCCATCCTGATTGATCGGTATTCCACAGGTCGTGGTCGGGAGTTTTATAGCTGGTCAAGAACAAGAACAACAGCCTCATCAAAAGAAGCAAAGGAAGCAAAAATTCGGGGTTCCACCCGCCATTCCGCCTCCTGCTTCTATCTCATTCGGGTCAGCAGAAGAACCGAGGGCAGACTTCGAAAGGCTCAACCCCGTTATTCCCGCACCGCCCGTCTCATTCTCACACGAAAACCTCGGCCTAACAAGCGCGAATCCCGTCTATAACTACCACACGAACTCAGCTAACCACGTCAAAGACTTGTTCGATTCTCTCCCAGAAGAAGAAGAAGAAGAAGAAGAAGAGGAAGAAGAAGCTGGAGAAGAAGACGACTATGGAGGTGATAGCCAATCTGACACAGAAGTTCCCAGCTGAAGAGTTGATCTTTGCTTTGTTGTTCGGATCAGACCAATGGGTTATAAAGAACCGATCTTGAATCCTTAGTTGTTTTTTTGCCAGATTTTTAGGTTTCGGTTCCAGAATTCATCTGATTTCTCTCTTTAAGATGAAAGATTTGTATTAGAGGATGTAATCTTTAGGTTCTTTCGTGTTTGCTGCTGCTGTAGGACTCCATGTAACGATGAAAAAAGGGACCCTGTGAGTGAATGAAGATGACCAACTCTTTTACATTGCTTTCTTTCCATGCTTTTTGTTTCTAATTTATATCATTTTTAATTTTAAGAAATATCTTAAAACGACGAGTTTTAACATAATTATTGAAATTACCCCAAAAACTCAAATTATCTAATCTAATAAAAGTTTATATTAAAAAAAATTATTCTTGAGGTTAACATTTTAGTTTGTAATATTTCACTTTACATTATTAAGTTAGAAACGTTTTCATCTTTTCGCTTATTAGAACTGTGGAGAAGTCTTAGCTTGTTATGTTAACTCTCGGCGTTCATTTCTCTCCTGTTCTTGTAACTTTTCACTCTGGGGTGAAAAATCAAATGATGAGAAAGGGTTTGGCTTTGGAACTGGTCCACCGATGGAGTTTTCACGTGGTGGGGCTTCTGACTTCTCGTGAGATGCTGTCCGACAAAATCTCGTACGGAGAAAGTGTGGTAATGACGAGATCAGTGCCTCGTCAATGTGTCTCCTTGCGTGTCCAACACCGTATGAACATTGCTGTTCATGAAAAAGAAGTTTCCCCCGTCACAGCTCTTGAACAAAAACATTAAAAAAAATCTTTCAAGAAAATGGATTTTTTAGATGAATATATATATAGATGTATATATATATATATATATATATATATATATATATATATATATATATATATATATATATATATATATGTTAATTACGATTTTAGCCAAGTTATAACTTTGGTATTGAAAGTTAATGATGGGTGCAGTGATTTATACTATATCATAAAATGAAAATACAAAAGTATATAAACGAATGTTTATTTAGTATGAAACTAGTAGTTGACACAAATCACCTTCATACCAAAAAAAAAACCCTTCGACCCATGTAGAGGGTTTCCAAAACCGGCAAACGAACAGGACCACGGAAACCAAAAAACGCATGCTTCGAGACCAAATCTGAAGACATTCACAGAGTCTTGGAAGTTCAGGATGGATTTATATGATTCATCTCTTCTGTTTCTTGTCTGCTTTTGCCTTTCCTCCACTGTAACTCTTGAAGTCATTTGTGGTGTCTCCTGTATTCTGCTTCTTCATCCCCTTCCTTCCTCCAAATCCAAACTTGGAATTCCGAAACTCCCTCTTCTTACCGTTCTTCCCTTGCCTTCCTTTCCCTCCCGATCAATCCCCGGGTGACACACCACTCGGTTTTTTCTTCCCCGATCTCTCGAAACCTTTGCCATTATCAAAATCCAGTTCGACCTCGCCCTCTTTATCAGCAAACCTGCTCTGTTGCCTCTGTTTCCTCCACTTCTTCACAGCCTCGATATCTTCCTTTGCTTAGCCCGCTCCTTCATTTTCTGCGCTTGTATTTCATTAGCCATTTTCTTGTTCTCCGTAGCCTTACTCCTCTCTTCTGCTTGCTCGACCTGTTTCTTCCCGTGAAGCCTGCCTTCACTTTCTCCATGTGGGCATAATTCGCCATCTCGGCATAATAATCTGAAGGTCTGAGGAAAGGTAGGCTCATCCCCTGAAATTTCTCGAAAGCCTGCCTCGTTCCTTCAAGGGCTTGAGTGTAGAAGGATAGCTCCCTTGCAAGGTCATCGTTTACTTCCATCTCTTGCCCCTGATCGATCTCCACCATTAACTTATGGAGCCAATCTACATTTCCTGGCCAGCATGCCGTGAAGTTTATCGAGGAGGCTGTCTCTCTTGTAAACATCATTCTTCGAAGTCTTGGGCAACTTCACAATTATTTCTTCTTCTAACTCTGAATCCGATTGTGACTCTGCTTCAGAGTCAGATGCTTCTTCCTCAAACACGTTCGTCTCATCATCTTCCAATATATCCTCATTCAATGCCATCTGTTCTAACTTGAAACAAAATCAATCCTTATTCAGGACCAGGACGACAAGAACTAGGATTTCTTGCAAAACCAAACCAAAAACCAACTTAAGGATGTGATATCCATGGCTTTGCCCTGTCTAGACTATAAATCAATACCAATATCGAATAAAAGTCACTCCAGGGATCCAGATTCACGGGCATCAGAAAAAATCCGACGTATTCAGAGATGTATTGATGCAGTCTAGGAAAAACTTCAGCACTAATAAAATGAAAATTTATAAGAACACATCCATGCCCTGCAGTTTACGATCAGTCACAGTTTGGCATACGAACTGGGTTGGTCCTTATACATGCAATGTAAACAAACATAAGTATATGAAAACATGAGACACCAAATATTTACATAAGAAATCCTATGGATGAAAGGAACATAAGCCAAAATTCTGCAGAAAGTGAAGTCAAGACCAATTATCTCCTGTGAAAGTCTTATCAGAGCAACTCAGTTACTATCTAAGATCAGAGAGGAGAACAAATAGAGTATTTCCTAAAAGACCATAAAAAAAGCAAGCTTTCGATAGACCCTAAACCCTAAATTGGATAAGAACAGCTTCTGTCTAGGAGAAACCCTGAAACCCGAATATCACCAGACACATGGATGCAGTCTCAAGAGAGAGAAACGATGAACCTCTACACGGAAATACAAATGGAGAACAAAGTTGGCGCCTAAACCCTGAAACAGAAGTCTCAGATTCAAACCAAACAGCAGAGAAATCAAGCTGAGACGAAACATGCAGAAACCAAAAAAAAGACCATCTGCAAAACCTTGATAAAAATGGATGCCTGCCCTTAAACCCTAGTTGAATTCTTAGCTCGATTTGTGAGGGCTTTAAAACGGGACGACGACACCGTTTCACCTCTCTTTTGTTTCCGTCAGGCCCAATTAGGCCCATCATCAACGTTTTCACTAGGATCTAGGCCCAATTAGGCCCAAATCCAAGGTTTCGGCTAGCCCCAGTAATTGATTCTTTTATACTTGACTCAATTTTGTCAAATTCATTTTTTCCAAAAACTATTTTTTATAAGAGTTCGATTCGGATTAAGTTTTTATTTATAAAAATGACACGACTATAACTGTTTATAGATTTTCTGACATTTTTGGATTATTTTCTTCTTTTTTCATATTGCATAAGTAGATTCTTTTCATTTCGGTGTCCGGAGTATCATAAAAAAAATACACAAAACATCAATTTAATATTTGTACATTATAATACAAAATATTACACGATTTCCGAAAAAAAAAACATGAACTTTGGAAAGTTTTTTATTTCCTTAAAAACCAGCACAAAACTGGTGGGGAAAAATGAAAATACACACCAGGACAAGATCTAGAGCTCCGTGTTGCGAGGAGGGGAACTCGTTTAAACTCCGACTCCGGAACTGGTCGCTTCCATCAAGCCGTTGCGTATCTGGTCGCTGATATCCCTCACGTGACCTGGTCCGTGCGGCAGAAACACAGTGGTGTTCTTCGAAGAGTTCCCCAAGTCCCGGATTGTATCAAAGTACTGAGTGATCATTATCAGATCCATCACTTCCTTTGCCGAGGTTCCTTCTACTTTGTGCGAGAAGTTCAATATGTTCTCCCTCAACCCGTCGGTGATTGCCTGCCTCTGTCTCGCCACCCCGACCCCTCCCAGATACTTCGCTTCCGCTTCGGCTTCGGCTTTCTTCACTTGCAGGATCTTCTCTGCCTCTCCTTTGTAAACGCTCGCAAGTTGCAGCCTTTGAGCTGCATTTGCCAAATCCATTCTTGGGTTAATGCGGAAAAAGGCGAAACCAATGGCAATGAAATTTTACAGCATCGGTCTCTAAACCCATTACAAGTGACGAACATTCTAGGCCACTACCGTATGAAAACAATACAATTTACTTCCATGAGAGGCCGAAATTAAGTTTACCTGCATTGATTTCGTTCATTGCCCTTCGTACGGAAGGATCGGGTATAATGTCAACCATCAGAATGTGCTCAATGCTGTACCCGTAAGCTCCCATCACCTGGTGAAACAATTTCAAATTCAATCATGAGCACTGGAAAGTCGCCGGTACATAAGGTGAGCGTTTTTATACGCTCGCCATTCATCAATCATGTAGAGGAACAAACCGAAAATTGTCCTAAGCAATCTAAATAACAGATCTAGTTGAGTTACTCAAAACTTCTACCGCTCAAATTCATCCATAACATAGCGCTAATGCAGGAACACGTTCTTGCACTAGGAATATCTAGATTGATTCCAAATTCTGTTATAGAACAACTGCTCAACAAGAGAGTCCTGAAAAGGAAAAAGAAAAATCTCGTCGATACATCGGATGAAACGATCCAAGACAGTGACGGGTTACCTTCTCGAGTTCCTCAAGAACAGCCTTGGCGACTTCACCCTTCTGCTCGAACAGCTCATCCAGTGTCATCCTTGGGACCAAAGCTCTAACCACTTTGACAGAAAAAAAAACGAACATAAATAAGATCAATGGGAACAAATTTCAATGAAATATCCAAAAAAGAACCAAGATTTACCATCAAAGACATAAGCCTGGATCTGCTCTCTCGGGTTTTGCAGCTCGTAGAACGCATCATCAGCATTTGCTTTCACTACACGAAACTGGATTGAGCAAACCAACTGCACAAACACATTATCCTGAAACCCACAAGACATGTTGATTAATCTCTGTTTAGAATCAGATTAACCATATCCTATTTTTTATTTTCAAAGCTTGACAAAAAAAAACACAAATAGGTATCGTGGATTCGAGGGAAGCCCAGGATCAATCACTCTCACCAAACTATTGATCGATCAAATTGATTTTCAGACAAAATCAAACCAAAATTTCAAATTCTCGGCGAAATCGACCGAAAAGAATCAAGCCCTATAGGAGATTACGCGGAAATTAAGGAGGATTCAAAGGAACACCGACCTTGGTTTTGGTCTCGATTTTGACGTCGAGAGAGTTGATCCTGGTGGAGAGAACTCCGGCGAGCCACTGACCGGCGAAAGGGTTGAAGAAGTGAAACCCAGGTTCGGCGAGCCGCTCGAATCGCCCCCACCGCTCCACCACGCCAACGCTCGCCTGATCGATGCACCCTCCAAATACGCAGAACGTGTTCCCCATCTCTCTCTCGCGCGCGCACACAATTCTACGCGACAGCCAAGGTTTGGAAGATGGCGGAAGTCAGCCTCCCGAAAAGGGTGTCGGACCACTTGGGGGGTAATATAGGAGCTCCATTGTAGATGACTGACTTTTACAGCCGTCCGATTAAAGGGTGAGGAAATGGTCAGAAACATCAACGGTTAAGGATTGATAACTTGAAAGATATACGGTAACTACCTAGGACTGTTTGCAGGCGATTTTGCTCTCTGCAATAAGCAATCTCCGCTGTTTGTTATTTCAAAAATTGGAAAATCTCAACAAAAAAAAATATCTGAATTTCTTAATTTTAAAAAAATAAATTTTAAATTTTATTTTTTTAATAAAAAAATCCAAAATTTTTAAATTTTTATTATTTTTAAATTTGAATAATGATATGATATAGCGATATCCTACTTAACAAATAAATATTTTGACCATATCTAATATATTATCATCCATATCACCATATCGAAATATCCTATGATCAATAGATTTAAAAATGATAAGAATTATAAAATTTAGATTTATTTGATTGAAAAATAAAATTGAAGTTTTATTGGATAAAAATTAAAGTTGAAGTTTTATTTTATAAAAATTTGAGATTTTTTTTTTTGATTTTTTCTTTAAAAATAATCCAATGAGAGATTATTTTGAAGAAGTTAAAAAAAAAAGTTTTACGGTTCATTTGATTAGAAAAACGGCCCATTACTATAAAGTGAGTAGAGTCCAACCAAGGTATTCATTCATTCGTTCATCTTTGTAACGAAAAACGACATGCATGTCATTGGGAACGGGCGTTTCAATTCGTGAAAAACGGCACACATGTTCAACAAGATGTGGCATAACGTGAGATTGTGCGAGCCAATATGCAAAACCCATTTATGAAATTGTTCAAGTATATACATTCATAAACTCGACGACATGATATTAATATGAAGGATGTGAAAGTTTTACGTCTATAATATATTGATGTATTAACTGTAGCCAATGAGATGAAGGTAATTAAAAACACACGCAAGAATACCACAGTTTGCCATTAAATTCAATAGAATAAAAAAATTGGTAATAAGAGAAAACAAAAGTTCTTTAAAATCCTAAATCTGCACACAAAAGAGTATCAAAATTCACAATTCTTTTTTTTCGCCTCTCAATCACACACACACACACACACACACACACATACATATATATATATATCATAATCATTCTGTTTGCTTATAAAGGGTTTTTATAAAAGAAAATGCGATTAATTTAGACTGTAGGATAAATGAAATGAATAGAGAAGAATATAAATAAAGTAGACGAGGAACATTTTTCTTATAAACTTTTGTGTAGTTCTTTCTAAACGGAATACTAACGAAAACATATATTCCATTTCCATCACAAATTTTTAAAAAAAATGTTGAATATTTAAATATTTTGGAAATTTACATAACATTGCAATGTTTATTTGATGTAGACTTTTATCATATTTAAAGTTCTATAATAAAAAAAACATATATAAGCTTTTTATTAATAAAAAACAATAATGGATGTTTTAGGTACGACGTTATAAAATAAAATATTTATTTACATTTATAATAGTATGACAATAAAAAACTAAAATAAGTAATAATCAAACTAATATATAAAATTTAATTTCATAAACATATTTCTCATTATTATTTTCCTCTGGTCGGATTGTCTGAATACAATATAAATTACACTAGAAAAAAAAAAGCTCATTTAAAAATCCCACTTAAGTGACTACTTAATATGATAAAAAAAAATTTATAATTTTAGGTATTTGTGTGATTTAGACCTTAATTATGCTAACTGATACATCTCAATCAAGGGAGCACTGATCTAGTTAATTATACTTTAGCTAAGTTAATTTCCCCTCCTTAATTTCCCTTTAATGCGATTTTGCTCAACTTTAATGATTATAGTGTTCTTTTTATATTCCTTTCTGCTACGTATCTTTCATCTTGTCTTTACGGTTATCTCTTATGTATGAAGAATACAGGAAAGTTTTACTTGACATAGACAATATATATATATATATATATATATTTATAAGGTAACATTTAAATTCCACCAATATATAATTGCTAAAAGGTATTTGTTTCATGATTGCCATTGTTTTGATTGTTTTGGCAAAAGAAGGGGAAAAAGTAAATATTTTTGCTACTTAGTCTTGATTTTGTTTTTTTACGAATCCCAACAATAATTTGGTCGCGCTTTCACTTCAATCACTTATTTTCACCTCCACAGTTGTAATCACTGCTTTGGGTCCCCCCTCTGTCACCCAAAACTATTGATCCCGAAATTTACAGAAAAATCTCCTCTGACTTGGGCCGTACTAAGATTCTTTGAAAATATCAGGCTAAGATATTTTCAATGAATTAAGATTTTTATCAATTATTATGCATGCATGCTGTTATATACGAATTCAATTTCATCATTTACTTCCCTTCCGGTTGAAGAATCGAAAACTAATTTATACACACACAAAAAAAAAAAAACAGAATTAGTCCCCCATTTTCTTTTCCAATTTTACAATAATTATTTACATGGAGTAATGACAATATATAAACAAAAACAAGAAAAAGAACGCATAGGTGCTCACTGCTCACCGTTGATTGGAACGTGATATACACGCGCTGCGTTGGAGGAGTACGGAATCTTGAGAGCGCCCCGACCGTGCGTGCAGTTCCACTAGATCCCTTCACACACAGACCGCAAAATTTACGCGACGCTGTCTCTCCCACGCGCTGATGACGTGTCAGTGTATCCACACGTGCCTCGTGTTTATTGCCATGTCAGCACGTCTGCCAGGTTGTCCATCGGTCACAGTAACGTCACTATCTTAGGTGGGACCCGCTTTTGGAGCTTTTCTGGGCCCACTTGGCGCGTAGCTTTCAATCTCAGCTGTACGATCTTCCATGCTGCTTATAATACTAATTATTATTATTAATTTATTTCTGTTCACATAAAATCATGGCAAAGAGCCGCGCAATTCGCTCCGCGATTGAGATGGACCCGCCTCCCTTATCCTTTTTCAGGTTTCTCTTTGTTTTCTTCTTCTTTTTTCCTTCTATTTTATTCTCTGTAATCTCCATATACACATATATAAATTTTATATTATCTTCATATATATATATATAATGTAGGTCGAATAGCCTATAGTGGCGTTCATGCTTGTCCGTCTTAGGCATGAAAGTTTTACACACAAATACATGTTACTCTCTCTCTCTCTCTCTCTCTATATATATATATATATATATATTCTTCAATAAATATTGTTATTAATGTAGTTGAGTGTGTATATATAAACATATAAGACAAATAAAAACGAGAGAATGTTAAAATAATGGATGAAGAGGAAAAACCTAATATCCTACGCTTCATTGGGAAGATCGTTTTTTGGCCGTTTATCTTATTTTTATATTTTCGATTAATTGGAAGTATGAAAAAACACCGAAATCCCAAATATTCTCGTCGGAAACCTCAAAATGCCGATTACATGAAATAATTTAAGAACTATAATGTTTCAATGGTACACCGGTTACTTAATATTAACTTTTTATTACATATTTTTTATTGGAAAATGTAAAAGTAAAGAGAGATAATTACACTACAACTATTGAATAAAGTTTTTTTGACGGATTCATTGATATATCTGAGCATCATATCGTGATTATTAGAAAATATAGTATCGAAGGAATAAAGATTGATTTAATCAAGGAATATAAATAGAAAAATGTTAGGAGAGTAAAGAACTCGTATTATTCGATTTTTCTTATTTAATATTTTTTTAGGTCGTTGCGGAAAATTATGACAATAAATAATACGATAACAGAAGATGCTAAAAATATATTTTGTATTTTTTTTCTTTTAGCAAAAATGAGGCTGAAAATTACGGATCCCTTGTATTTATACATTGGATGACCTATCATGTTTTGATTGGATTTTTTCGGGTTTATTTATTTTTATTTAAAACAAATAATTTGTCAAACTTTTATATATAATTTTGGTTATATTCCAAGTTCGATTTGGTTAAAATTTTGTACCCAATTTGAGTTTTTAAAATTATTTTTATATTAAATTAATTTATTATATATATATATATATATAGATTGCAAAACAAATTCCTAATGTATATTTATTTCTTATATATACATTCCGTCCGTTGCACCATACTTGAAATGAATAAGGAAGACAAAAGCATACAACATATACCCAAATTAAATAAATTGAGGAAAATCCAATTATTTTGTGCAATTATAAAAAGTATATGCTATAAAATTTTCAAATCTTATATTATCTAAAAACAATCTAAAACTACAACGTATTTGAATATTTAGATTATGTAAAAAAAAATATTTAATCTAAAAATAATTAGATGAAATTTTAAAAATTAAATTAAGTAAAGAATCTTAAATAAATTTGACAATAATTTAAAACAAACGATTTTCCGAAAATTAATAAGTCTCAATGAAATATAATTCAAACATAATCAAAAAATTAAACTGATTTAAAAAATAAATAAATAATCTTAATTTTTTTTGGTAAAGAAAACAAATCTTAATTTTAATTTGACAATAACCAACTTCAAATATAGTTAAAAAAAATTATTTGTATTTTTTGTATAGACCCTCCTAATTCTTTTGAATGTGCAAATCATATGTTTTTTTTTCTTCCTAATTTCTAGTTGTCAATTGACTAACCCATCTTTTCGGGTGTCTATCATTCTTATTTATGTCATTCATAAAAGACCCAATTTATGGCTCGAAAAAAAACAAATCTTCCTAACTTTTGCCGGCAGGATTCACGAAAAAAGAGAAAAAGAAACCGAAAATACAGAAGAAAATTTATAATTTTTATACAGATTACAAACTAAAATCAATTTAAATTTTAAAAACCCAACACCGTTTATACTATATAGTATTTTACTAAATGTTAGTAACTAGAAATGGATATTTAGATTCAAATGTCAGAATCTGATATAAACAAATCCAATCCAATTTCAAAATAGAATATGTAGATTATATTTGATTTTTTAAATTATTGAATAGGAGACCGTTTTAAATTTAATATGAAAATATAATTTTAAAACAATTACAACAACATCATCGCCTTAATCCTGAATTTATTTGGGATCGACCGCATGAATTCTTCTTTTCCATTCATTTCGGTTTTGCGTAATATTCTCCGAAATTTACAATATATCCAAGTCATTTTTAATGACTCGTTCTCAAGTAAGTCTAGGTATACTCTTTTCTCGTTTCTTCACTTCCATCATTATATTCTCTAATTTTTTAACCGGAATATCTAATGGTCTATATTTTACATGTCCAAACCACCTTAAACGTCCCTCACATAATTTCTCTTCTAAGGTTATGACTCATAATTTCTCTCTAATACTCTTATTTTGAATTCGGTCTATTTTGTATATCCACACATCTATCGTAACATTTTCGTCTCGGCCATACATATTTTAGACACATGTTATCTTTTTGCCGCCCAACACTCACTACCATACATCAATGCGGATCTTATGGTAGTACGGTAAAATTTTTCCTTCAACCGTATAGAGACTTTACGATCGCAAAGAATCTCGTGGCTTATCTCCATTCCATCCATCCCGTTTTTATCCTATGAATAACATCTTTTGATTACTAAAAATTAAATTTGATGAATATAAATAAATATCAGCCGAGAAAAGTATATTGCAAAACAAAATTTCTTAAAATTCGATAAATTTAAAACTGTAAACTAAAATAGCCAAATAAAAAAAAACAAATCAAAACCTAAATATAAAAAAAATTGAAAATTTCATTACATCTATATCCAAACTGAAATTTTATCGCAAGTGGCTCCAATAAAAGACAAAACATGCAACGTCCAATCCCGTACCCACACTGCCTTGATTCCATACCCACGAAAATTTTTATTTTTTTCAAATTCGTGTATAAATTTGTGGTCCTAAAAAGGGAAAATTAATAAATCTAAAAAAGGAGGTCCATCACAGAGAGGAGAGAGAAAAAACTCAAAGCGTGGAGGAAAACCCTAAATTACCCCTGAAGGCCATCAAATTTCCCGCGCAAAGAGAACCGAAAACAAAGTTGCTGACGTCAGATCAAAGACCATCGGACGGCTACAAACGACGCCGTTTGTCTCCTTGTCGGGTCCCACTTGTCCACCTCACTTTTAAGAATCCATCTGTCCTCCATTACCCCGCATCTCTATGACCCATCAAAACAATTGAAACTTTATGTAAAATTACATAAGAATTCGAAAACCTACATAAATATTGCGTGTATTTAATTTTATTTATCATACACCAAAAAATATATACTCTTTAAAATATTTGAATATTCTAAATATAACAAATAAAATATGTTACGTCAAAAAAAATTTAGAAAAAAAGACAGCTTTACATACTTGTTAATTCGGGTAATATTACAAATTCCGTTTTAATTTAATAAAAGGTTTGTTTGAGCATAAAAGGGAATTATTTTAGAAAAAAATTGAAAATAGTTTAATTACTTAATTGTTCTATATATGTATACACACTCACTCTCTCGTCTCTCGGACCACAAAATTCAAAACCTCTCTCCTCCCTTTCATTTTTTCTCCTCACAAAAGGAGAATGCGTTGTGTTCTGGTGCTACTCAGCCTCACCGTGACGACGGTGTTCGTCGTATTTCCACCGCCAGTGATAGGATGGAGGCCGTGGCCCCACCAAACTAACGGCTCAGATCAAACCTTTGGCGGGTCCAAGAAATACGAAGGCTCATCGGACCTCGTCCACCTCCGATACCATATGGGTCCTGTCCTCACCACCAACATCACCGTACACCCAATCTGGTATGGCACGTGGCAAAAGTCCCAGAAGAAGGTCATCCGTGAGTTCATCAATTCAATCTCAGCCGTCGGATCCAAGCGCCCCTCCGTCTCCGGGTGGTGGAGGACCGTACAGCTGTACACAGACCAGACCGGCTCCAACATAACCGGTACGGTCCGGCTAGGAGAAGAGAAAAACGACCGGTTCTACTCCCACGGCAAATCCCTGACCCGGTTATCGATTCAGTCCGTGATAAAATCCGCCGTCACGGCGAGATCACGGCCGTTACCTGTGAACCCGAAGAGTGGTCTCTATCTACTCCTCACATCTGCTGACGTGTACGTTCAGGATTTCTGCGGGCAAGTTTGTGGGTTCCACTATTTCACTTTCCCATCCATCGTAGGGTTCACGCTTCCTTACGCCTGGGTTGGAAATTCGGCCAAGTACTGTCCAGGAGTTTGTGCTTATCCTTTTGCCGTACCGGAGTACATCCCTGGGCTAACGGCGTTAAAGTCGCCTAACGGAGACGTCGGAGTCGACGGAATGATAAGCGTTATCGGTCACGAAATTGCTGAGCTGGCGACGAACCCGCTCGTGAACGCTTGGTACGCGGGTCCGGACCCGGTGGCACCGGTGGAAATAGCCGACTTGTGCGAGGGTATCTATGGAACTGGAGGTGGCGGGTCGTACACGGGGCAGATGTTGAACGATCACGATGGTGCCACGTACAACATGCACGGGATCCGACGGCGATACTTGGTTCAATGGGTCTGGAACCATATGGTTAATTACTGTACCGGCCCCAATGCGCTTGATCATTAGTGGCATTTTTGTATTTTTGCTTTTGTGGATTCGAGCGCTTAGAGCTTTGTTGGGATTTGAATTGCATTGCATGATGATTAATAGTAGTAGTTAAGGATGTTAATTATGTAATGATATTATTTATGCATTAATGTATACTACTTTGGTATACTTATATATTATGTAATGTTATCCTCTCTTTTATTTTATTTTTTTGTTAAATTTTGCATTTTTATTTATAGAAATGAGAAGAGGAATAAATGTTGGAATTTTTGGTGGGCACGTAGAAGAGGTGCGGTTCGGGAGGTTAGGTAACGAGTTGCAATCAAATTTTCTATTTTCTATTTTCTTATATAATGTTTTTTGTCCACAGTGCAAGTATCAAAAGCCATTGGTAACATGGATTTCAATTAATTTTCGTAAGCAACTTTAATATTTGATAGATATTTTTTTTATATCTCGCAGGAATCACAATAAAATTTTGTTTTTAGATTCTCTTCTGGTCTCGTGATGCAGAGATATTTAGATACTTGGGTTGGGTTATATGAAAATGAATAGAGAATCAAATCAAATTGAATAGTATATAACTATATCCAAATAAATATATATACAAGTTCAATATAAAAAATGGAATGGATATATTTTATGAAATTTAAATATAAAAAAAAATCCAAATGTCTGTCAATATGCGTTATTATTTCTTGATACAATGGATTAAACTAAATAGTCTAAATATATAATATGGAAATGTATGTAATACAATTAAAAAAATGATTAAGTGAGAGCTCTCTGAAACAGCTGTCTTGTCAATTTCCTAAAGCGAGAACCAAAAGTCTTGCGAGTTTAGACGACCCTTTGACTCCAACATGTTTATATTTCATAATTCATTTATTTATATGTGTACATATATATATATATATATATATATATATATTCATGGTTCAAATATAGGAAGTACATTTCTCAATAAGATTTTGATTGTTACACAAAATAGTTATAATTAAACCCATCTACGTACGTACTAAAATTTAGAAATCTTATAAGATGCATATATATATATATATATATTTGTTTTTTTTCTTTCAAGTATGCATGAATTGCTCGATTTCTATATTCTACCGTTTGGGAAGATCATTGTTCAATTTTCTGATATTAGGGTTTAAAAACACAGGTACTAGAAGGAAACCGGTCTGATAAGCTCGAGATCATATTTTGGATGCGTGATGAATAAAACTACATTTCATAGTAATACGCAATATGTTGCAAAGACTAACCCTATAAAATTGTTGCTAAATTGAAAATTCAAAAGATTTTTTTTATAATCCAAAAGTTAATTAATTAGCTTTTCATTCTACTTATATCTCAAAGAAGATCGAGAATATACGAGTTAATACTCTTTACAACATTGAATTTAAATCCAAAATTGGATGACTCAATTAGTAAAAAAAGTGAACAAAGTTTTTTCTAATTGGGATTCGAGTTTTCATTTGGGGATGTGTATTCACATGAATTTTTTTGTTTTTGTACGAGATATAGTCGGATCAAAGATATGGTAAATTTTCGGATTATAAAAAAAATATTTGAATTTGAATGCGAAGCAAAAACATGTTTTGAATATTATCTTATCACTAATACATCAAACTTAGATAATCTAAGAGATATTATATTCGACAAATCTGGTTAAATCTTGTCAATTACAAATAGAAATTCTATGTATCCGTACACATATGTCTCAGCCAAATCTAATTGCTACCATGAATACATGTGTGTGTGTGTATATATATATATGAAATGGAAGTATGCATGCACGGACCAATGGAAGAGTTGACGGGAGGAGGATTGATTACGGATGATGAGTATAGACAAAGGTTACATTTTTATGTCTAAGATTAGATTTCGTCATCATCATCATCATTAACATAAGAAAACAATAAAAAAATAAATATAACGATGATTGAATATAGTGGTGTGGCTATATACATATATATATGTATGTATATATATATATATACGGGGGAAAGGAAGAAGAGTTATGAGCGGCGCCTGCTCACCTTTTTGTCCTTTTGACTCTTGAATAAAATGAAGGGACCCTACTTACTTTGATCTTTTTTTCGTTTACCAAATACTCGTGATGGGTCCCCCTTCCATGACTTTCACCTCCCAAGCTTACGGTCATTCCTTAAAGTGGTTATTAAACAAATATAATCCTATAATAAATATCTTTTCATAATTCGCAATATAGTAAGATTGAATTGAGTTTTATAGGCAATTTTTGTTGTTGATATGAATCAAGTTCCAACTTAGTTTTTGTTCTGTTATTTGATACCCGTGTGCATATTACCAAATCACAAGATTAACCATACTTTGGAACTTCATTTCTGGTATTTGAGACAAAGGAAATTGAAATTGCATTTTTGAAACTTAAAACGCGAGATATTTGAATTTACAATCGACTGTCACAAATGTATATGCTTAATGAACACACCCATCTCGGGTATCCATTCATTTCGGGTGTCGGGGATCGGAACCATAATCCAAACCATTTTGAATTTAGAATCCGATATTCCAAATTATACTCAACCCAAAATCCATCACACGCACACGCGGAGGGCTTGACTCATGAATGATCCAATAAATGTTTTGTCCGAACGATTTGATGTGACGATCGGTTATAGGGTATTCATGGCCGTGTCGTACGATTTTTTTCTTTGTAATTTTCTAACAACAATTACTTGTCTCGCGCATCACCGGTTCACAAGATTTGACATTTACCCAACCCAAACCCCACCATTATTTGTTGCCATTTCATTCTCCTAAACTCGAAGGGTAAAACTCAAGAAGTTGTAGCCGAATGGTTGAAAGTCTTTGAAGCCTTAAATCTTCCGGTTATCAACTACTACAAGAAGAAAGGAAAACTCTACAGCGTCGTTAGAGTGTAACCTATCTCATAGGTATCATGTTCGAACAACGAATTGAAGAGGAACCATGCAAATTAATTACAGTAAGATTGTCTTATGCGACACAATGGATGTAATTAGATCGAATGATGAGTTAATTAACTTGAATACAAAAATAAAAAAAATTGGGGCCAAACCCTAGTTTATATGACATCCCAATTTTATTTTTGGTTATATTTGTGGTCGAATGGTTATATTTGTGGTTGTGATGTCACCTATTTCAAAAATCTCACGTTATAAAAACGAATTGAAAATGAAAGATGAAATTTAGTTATAGTAAATCCGATTCAAGATGAATGTAGTTAGATTGAATGTCGAGTGAATCAACGTAAATAAAAAAAATTTGGGGGTTAAACCCTAGTTTATATGACATGATGTTTTTAATGTATCATCCATTTAATTATTTGATCCCATATCTTCTTACTACCTCCAACACATTTATTGAATTTGGATATACAACCTCCCCGTGCCTTCAACCTTTAAAGACTGCGAGCCGTTTCGTCTCAAACTACATGCCGTTTCGCCATACTTTGTTCCAGGTCCTTGAAAACGGCGTCGTCTCTTCGTCGATGGGTGGGTCGGGCCTTAATAATCGTATCCGATCTTCATGTTAAATCATTATACAAGTATTTGGGCTTTGGGGTGGCCTTTTTGGACTGTTTAAGATGATTTTTAAATGAAAAGAAATTGAATTTTAGTCGGATATAAAAATAATTGAAGAAACTATTTTTTTAAAGAAATATTTCTACGAATAAAAATCAGTCCGAAATATATTTAATATAAAAATGAATTATTTTATTTTATTTTAAATAAAACTTCATCCAAAAAAAATATTCCAACCAAGCCGTACCCAAATCAAATGGCCACCCTTGGCTTGTTCTATTGAAGTTCGTGCTTTGGGGTCCGAAAACGGTGTCGTTTTGTCATGTAATTATTTAACGGGCAATGCATTTCTCATTATTTAACTGTGACTTGCTCGAGGAAATGTCGCGCGAATAGAGTAAATCGAAGAAGAAGAAGAAGAAAAAGAAGAAGAAGAAGAAGGAGGAAGATGTGGAGACGCGTGGCTTCACTTTCTCCTATGGTCTCTTCAACATCGAGATACCTCTCTCTCCATCAGGTACGAGGTTCTCGGGTTCCCTTCTCGTTGACGCTGATTTCATGTCCGATCGCGTTTGTTCCCCGGTGAGATGAAATCGTTGCTCAATAGAAGCTCCATTGATGGTATCCTGGTTTTTTGATGTGGCTGGTTTCTTATTTTTTGATCTTAGGCTGCTTCTAGGCTCAAAACTTGGGAATCATTTGCTACGGAGATCATATACCCGGTATCTCTATGAGAGGATCTCGATCAATCTCTTTCCCGTTCTATCTTTTGAATGGTCTTTTTTACATGTAAGTTAGGGATTTTCTTGAATTTGTTGCAGGAAAAAGGGGATTTACCGGCGAAGAGAAGAGCTCCATTCATTACGTTTGTGTTAGGTAAGTTGAATCTATCTGGTCTTCTCCTGAGAAATCTGAATTTCCTGCGAAATTTTTTTCGCAGCAGACAGTGCCATTGTGTTTTTTCGTCGAATTCGGTCTGATGGAGTTAAATCTCGCAGGTGGTCCTGGGAGTGGGAAAGGTACACAATGCGAAAAGCTTGTTGAGACCTTTGGATTGAAACATCTAAGTGCAGGAGATTTGCTAAGGAGAGAAATCGCGTTGAACAGTAAAGACGGGTAGTGACGAACTTCTGAATGTTGATTATATTTGCTTAGATTGCCTCCTGAAATTTGTGGGCATCTCAGGATTGGGGATCTTAATTTCAGGGCCATCATTCTTGACTTGATCAAAGAAGGGAAAATCGTCCCCTCGGAAGTTACGGTAAAGCTGATTCAGAAGGAGCTGGAAACGAGCAATGCCAACAAGTTTCTCATCGATGGGTTCCCACGGAGCGAGGAGAATCGTATTGCATTCGAGCGGATAGTGAGTCGTTTCCTCTCTTTTCTTGGAAAAAAATGGAAAATTTAGAAGTGAAGTTGCTTTATCTGCTAAGTGGGTTCCTTCCCCTTAACAGTTGCATGGAAATTTCCACTTGGAAGAATCTTTGAATGTTAAGTTGCTCACTGATGCAACTGCAGATTGGAGCAGAACCGGACATAGTGTTGTTCTTCGATTGCCCTGAAGAAGAGATGGTGAAACGTGTGCTGAACCGTAATCAGGTGCTTTTCTCCATGTTTCTTCCATGGATTTGTGAACCAGAAGTGTGTGTTTGTTCTTTCTAAATCTGCTACCTTGCTGTTGCAGGGCCGAGTTGATGATAACATAGATACGATCAAGAAACGCCTAAAAGTCTTTGAAGCCTTAAATCTTCCGGTTATCAACTACTACAAGAAGAAAGGAAAACTCTACACCGTGAGTTCTTATCAAACAATTATTCCAGATTATGTGCTAATGATCCGTAAATTCTTTGTTCTGTTATTGATATGTCTGTGTTTTCGTTCTGTCACAGATTCTTTCTTTGATCAATATCTTATCTGTGTGTTGACTAATAGATGCCTCTGTACGCAGGTTAATGCGGTGGGTACAGTTGATGATATATTTGAAAAAGTTCGTCCTGTTTTTGCTTCATTCGAGGTACAATCACCTCTTTGCATCTTCTTTACTCTCTCTTTTTTCTGCATTTCAAACTTCTATATTTTCTCGTTATCGCCTATCTTGCATGTAGTTGCATTTCAAATCCACAATCGCACAGTAATGCATTCTTGTCGAATATATCGACTGTTTCCCTTGAACGGTAAGAGTGAACATTAACATCAGCCATTTACTTCCGCAGAAGTTGAAGGAGTGACGAATGTAACTCCATGAGTCCCGTTTGGATCGAGTTTTGTCTGTTGGGGACATCAGAAACTAACCCGGTAAGCTAGGAACGCGAATAAGAATTCTTCATGAACTCAAAATGCTCAGGACAAGTTCTCTTGAAGTGCGCTTCTTTAACCAGCAAACTGTTCCTGTACATAGCTTGAACTAAGAAGCTTTGTCTGTCTTGTCTTTTTGTCAAAGAGGAAAGATATCCTCAGTTTTCCGGACTCATTAACCATAACAAATGTATTGAAATGTTTGCTTATTGTTGATGCGACTGTAGTGTCTTTTACCCAAAAAAAGAAGAAAAAAGGTGTATTTTGTATTGTGCTTGCTTTTCATATATCGTCACATGAGGCGGTAGAGATTTTCCGCTTGATATGGTGTCTATTTGCAGCATTTTAGTCGGTGTTTCATCGTCGTGGAAGTGAACTCCATGGATGGGCGGGCGATTAGGCGAGGACTTATCGGGTACGTACGCTTTTGCTTTTGATTGTTCTGTGCTCTTAAAAGGGACACAACCTGGTCAAGCTGGTAGCATATATTCAATCGGATGCTCGAGAGAGGTACTGTAATTGGAAGAATTCTGTTGTTTCCTCTCTCGTTCTAAAGGTATGAAGTATTTATAGAGCAGATGCAGGTTTGGCAAAGTAAAACCTGATGATAGGTCTCACTTCCATCTCAGTTTTATCCCTTTGTGCGATGAATACACGACTAATCCTTGATAAACTCGAGAATCGAACACTATGTCGGTATGGCTGAACGTGTATATATGATTGTTTGCGGCATGGGAGTTCAAATCTTGGCGAATGCTTGCTATATTATGCATGGGAAAGGAGGTATTACGAGCAAAAACACAACTTTGAGCTGTTGATGAGGATCTACGTTAAGACGAATGAGGATTAGGGGTGTCAAACGGATCAGATCGGTTCGGTCCGAACCCACACTCGACCCAAGGGTTTCGGACTTGAGACAACCTAATTTTTTTGGGCCTATAAGACTAAGTCCGAAGCCTGATCCGATAGAATTCCAATTCGGATTTGGGTCGACCTCTTTATGATAAAAAAAATTCGCAATTATTTTTTAAAAAATGAATCGTATTTTTGGATCGGTCCAAAACCCGATTTCAGCCCAGGTAAAAAGCTCAAACTTTTTGGACCTACAAATTCATGTTTGAAACTTGATATCTTTCAGGTGGATTCGGGTCAAATTTCGAAATTTGAACCAAACTTGATGCCCTGACTGTAGAATAATTGAAAGAAGATTACTGAATAATACTCTTTGTCTCTTATTTTTCTCTATGTCCGTGAGTACATACATATATATCTGTATGTTGACTTATTTACAAAGATATATATCTATACAAATGGGAAAGTGTATCAAGGAGACAATCAATGTGGCAATATTATAGAACCTTGATTAAGGAATTCCCATGCGCGTATTCTTCTGAGGGAATCTCCAACGTCTCTATGTACCTTTCCATTTGTGTCTTGTTCCTTATGTCTTCGTGGCCTTTTCATGCAGATCATGTAACGTAGGTGATGCCTCCAACTCTTCTAACATGCATGTTTCCTTTCCTTCAATATTCCCCCTCAAGGTTGGCCGGCGAAATTCGGTAAGGCCAATCTTGGACAGAATTTTGTTAAGCACAAGAGAGCTTGTTGCCTTGGTGAGTATATCGGCAAGTTGGTCTTGACTCCGAGTGTACATTGTTGAGATCAATCCTTGCGTTATCTTCTCGCGAATGAAGTGGCAATCCACTTCAATATGCTTCGTTCGTTCATGGAAGACCGAATTTGCAGCTATATGGAGAGCGGCTTGGTTGTCACAATGCAATGGTGTTGGTTTGGTTACTTGAACTCCGAGGTCGTTGAGTAGTTGTCGTAGCCATAGTAGTTCGCTTGTGGTGTTGGCCATTGCCCGATATTCGGCCTCCGCGCTTGATCGTGCCACCACATTTTGTTTCTTACTTTTCCAAGTCACAAGATTTCCTCCTACGAATGTGCAGTACCCGGATGTTGATTTGCGATCCATTCTATCTCCTGCCCAATCTGCATCACAGTATCCAATGATTTCGGTATGACCGTTGTTCTTCATCCATATTCCTTTGTTCGGTGTTCCCTTTAGGTACTTGAGAATTCGTTCCACCATTTGCCAATGCCAAGTCGAAGGCGCATGCATCCATTGGCTTACCTGATGTACAGCAAAACTAATATCAGGTCTTGTTATAGTTAAATAAATAAGCTTACCTACAACGCGACGATATCTCTCTGAGTCCTGGAAATATTCCCCCTCGCGTTGATCTTTGAAATGTTCCTCAATTGGAGTACGAACCGGCTTTGCGCCAAGTTTTCCTGTATCACTTAAGAGATCGAGAATGTATTTTCTTTGCGATAGAAATAATGCATCATTATGACGTGAAATTTCTATACCCAGAAAATATTTGAGTTCTCCGAGGTCTTTAATATCAAAAACTTGTTTTAAATAATTTTTAGTATCAGCAATGCCTTGAATATCATCACCCGAAATAATAATATCATCTACGTATACCAAGAGAACGATGATACCAAAGTTGCCGTGTAGGACAAAAAGGGAGTGGTCGGAGTCACTCCGAGAAAAACCTTTGGCAACGAGGGCTTCATGCAACCGGTGGTACCACGCTCGGGGAGATTGCTTTAGTCCGTAAATCGCCTTGTTCAACTTACAAACCATGCTTGTTCCAATGGTTTTTGTATAACCGGGTGGTGGCTGCATAAAAATTTCTTCGTCAAGATCGCCTTGGAGAAAAGCATTCTTGACGTCCATTTGCCAAAGTTGCCAACCAAGGTTAACTGCAAGAGAAAGAACAACACGAACGGTTGGAAGTTTAGCAACAGGTGCAAATGTATCCGTATAGTCTTCACCGTAGGTTTGGGTGAACCCTTTCGCAACCAAACGCGCTTTGTATCGTTCGATTTCCCCGTTGCTGTGGTACTTAATTTTGTATATCCATCGGCATCCAACCGCCTTTTTATCGGGTGGTAATTCTGTGATGTCCCACGTGTTATTCCGCTCAAGTGCATCGAGTTCTTCTTGCATAGCAGTGTGCCAAATCTGTTGTTGCTTGGCCTCGGCATAGGACTGTGGTTCAATCCCCTGCTCAATCAGACTTAAAAAGGCTCGATCAGTAGAAGAGAAGCAGTCAAGGGAAGAGTACACCTGAATAGGATGAGCAGTAGCCGAATTGCTGGAGGTAAGCGTGTGCTCTTCCGGAGTCTGGGTCTGAGTCTGAGGTTGCAAACACGATTGGGCAGTTGCAGATGGGTCTGAGAGGGAATTGCGAGTTGCTGAGTCGATAAGATGGTGGAGAACTTCGGTGGTTGCTGCCGATTCGCGGACCTTCCAGGTGGGGATTCTGTGTCGCGTCCCACGACGCAAGACGGGTTGGGCATCGTCAATCTCTGTCACACAGGTGGCTTCGGTAGGTGCAGAGGGAGCTGTAGGGCGAGAACTGGCCCCGTCAGGCGGAACAACTAGAGCAGCAGGGAGAGGCGATTCACGGTGGGTCTCCGCGCCGGAGTCAATGATTGGCTCTGCAAGGGTAGGAATTAAGGAATCACAGGAATTTAGAAGGGATTTGGAAGAAACCTGGGAAGAAGTAGCTGGGCCCGAAGGAAGTTGGTGATGGCGCTGAGAGTCAGCGAGGTCCTCTGGAGTCGAAACAGAGTCATCGCCCGGAGCAGAAACAGGGGCGTCATCAACCGAATCCGACGAAACCCGAGGAGAGAACAGATTAGGAGCCAAGTCTGGTGCAGCTGAGCTGGTAACGTCCGTCGAAGAAGATCCCTGCAAAAGGCTTTCTCTTTGAAGAGCTGTTAGAAATTGACATAGAGGGGTGTTATCGTCAGTGCCTCTATCAACAAGATTTTCCAGGTGCTTCCAATCCTTGTCTCTGTAATATGCAATATCTTCGTGAAACTTAACATCTCGAGATGTATACACACGCCGCGTGTGAGGATTGTAACACGTATAGCCTTTTTGATCGACGGGATAGCCAAGAAAAATACAACGAACACTCTTAGGGTCAAGTTTGTTGCGTTGTCCTTCGGGAACTAGAACATAACAAACACAACCAAAAACCCGTAAGTGGTCTAGTGATTCTTTGCGATGATAAAGTACCTCAAACGGAGATTTGTCGTGAAGGACTTGCGTAGGGAGACGATTAATTAGATAACACGCCATCTTTACGGCATCACTCCAATAGGATTTGGGAACGTGCTTGTGGAACATCAATGTGCGTGCTACTTCCATCAAGTGTCGGTTTTTACGTTCGGCAACACCGTTTTGTTGCGGTGTATCTGGACACGTTTTTTGATGAACAATTCCGTGAAGGAGAAGAAACTGTCGGAATGCATTACTGACGTACTCGCCGCCATTATCTGTTCTCAAACATTTGAGCTTAATACCGAATTGGTTAGTAACAAAAGCATGAAAATGTTTAAATGCATCAAGAACACCGCTTTTGTTTTTTAATAACGTGATCCATGTATATTTCGTTTTTTCATCGATAAATGTAACAAAATATTTGTAAAGATCTCGAGAAAAACATGGAGCCGTCCAGACATCGGAGTGAACTAAATCAAAAGCATTTTCATATATTCTTGTAGAGGTCGGAAAGACAACACGACAGTGTTTACCAAGAATACATGATTCACAAAAATGATGTTCAACGGTAGAATGTGGAATAAGTAAACGTAAAACTCGGTGATGTGGGTGGCCTAATCTAGCATGCCAAATGGAATGAAAGGCGGAATGTGATGCTAATGCATTGTCTTCAAGATAGTAGAGATTGTTCTTCTTAAATCCTTTCCCGAGTGTCTCACCCGAATTAGTATCCTGAAAAAGAACCCCATTAGCATCAAAAAGAACACGACAATTTGCATCGTCAACAAGTTTAGGGATTGATAAAAGATTGGTTTGAAAGTCGGGAACAAATAAACCACTTAGCTCTTTGTTAAACAATTGGAATTTTCCACGTCCTTTAATTGGAACAAATTTTCCATTAGCAACCGACACTAAGCCACAAGCATTTTTAAGATCATGAAACCATTTTTCGTTACTAAACATGTGGGAAGTTGCACCGGAATCGATGATAATATCTGAATTAGAATGAGATGAGTTTGTGATCATATTACCGGAATCGTGAGAGTTCATGGCACGAAGGAGTTGTTTGAATCCCGCCATTTCTTCCGGTGTGAAAGACATGGATTGGGTCGCAGCCATAGCGTTCTCTCGTGTGGAAGGAGAGTCTTTGTAGCGGGAGGGCTTGAGATGTGGATTAAGGATCCAACATCGTTCCTTTGCATGACCCGCCTTCTTGCAATGGGCACAAACAATTGTTTTCTTATCTTTGCGGAAGGGTAGAAGCGACGATTCTTTACGATAGTGGGCTATCTCTCCCGAACCTGCAAATAAGTTTCGTCCCCCTTCCTCACGTTTGATCATCATACATACCTCGTCATAGGGGGGAAGCCGAGACTGCCGGAGGATATGATAAACAAGATCGTTATACGATCCATCCAACGTGAGGAGAATAGAGAAGACTTTGTCTTCTTCCATACGTTCCTTGAACACTTTGGCATCCATTGTCATGGGGCGAATCTCTTCTAATTCGGTCCACAACGCACCGAAATCGCCTTGAATTTTGTTAAATGGTTGTCCATTTTGCTGCAATTGGAAGAGCTTCTTTTTAATCTCAAAAATTCTGCTTATGTTAGAGAGATTACCATAAACGTTCTTCAATGCATCCCATAGTGCCTTGGCTGAATCCATTGCTATGAAAGATTGCAAGACATTAGCTTCGAGTGAGCCTTGGAGGATAACGAGAGCTTGCTGGTCTGCTTGATACCATTTGCTCTTGTCACCGGACTCAGTCGGCGTTTTGTCTGCCACGGGCTCCGCGCTTTCGGTCTCAGCATTTTGGAGAGGCGAGGAACCTTGCGGTGTGGTGATATGGCCCCACAATCCACGGCTACTCAACGTGGCCTTTGCGGCTTTCGACCAATAAAAATAATTATCGCCGGTGAGGACAATAGGAATAAGTTTGAACTGGTTTTCCATTGCCGTAAGCGATCACAGAACAAGGTGAGAAAAGAGATGAAGTAGAAAAAAATGGAGAGACGTGATAGATCTTCACTCCTCTGATACCATGTAGAATAATTGAAAGAAGATTACTGAATAATACTCTTTGTCTCTTATTTTTCTCTATGTCCGTGAGTACATACATATATATCTGTATGTTGACTTATTTACAAAGATATATATCTATACAAATGGGAAAGTGTATCAAGGAGACAATCAATGTGGCAATATTATAGAACCTTGATTAAGGAATTCCCATGCGCGTATTCTTCTGAGGGAATCTCCAACGTCTCTATGTACCTTTCCATTTGTGTCTTGTTCCTTATGTCTTCGTGGCCTTTTCATGCAGATCATGTAACGTAGGTGATGCCTCCAACTCTTCTAACATGCATGTTTCCTTTCCTTCAATACTGACAAGGACACGAGTAATCGTCGGTCGACATCCGGATCCAAGCTCAAAAGTCAGGATCTCATCATCATCGGACCATTTTCCTCTGTCGGTGGACTGAGTATTCAAGAACACCCGAGTCACGGGCCATATACGGTATTAAAAAAGAATAGGGGTTCTTGTGTCCACCTCGATAGAAAAATATTCAATCTCGAGCTAAGTGTCTTGTGTCCACCCCACATGACATCGTAGCCTGTTAAATGATACAATAGGCTCATGTGTTTGTAACAAAGCAAGAACGCATGTGTGAACCAGATGTAAATTACGTCATTTAACTCTGTTAGAAATGGTTGCGTTACGGTCTCAGCTTGTGGTCTCGCGTGGCAATGATTTCTTGCGATGATTGATTCGAAACCAAAGTCAGACATCATTCGATTGGAATTTCTCTCGTCGAATAATTCAATTCTTTTTTTTTTTTTTGCGTAATCTTCTTTCTCGTGATCATCGTCACATGTGACATAGTAACATGGGGTTACGTGAATTCGGCCCCACGACGAATCCGCCTTATTTTATGCAAAACCTCCATGAATGAAGTGAACACAACCCACTTGCTTATTACATTATCCGAATCCCAAGAAAAAACAACAACAACATGTCGGCCAATATATATATATATATACATATATGTGTAATACTTTAAAAAATGCATATTTTTGTTCTAATGTGAAACTGAAATGCCTTTGCCAGCTCTTATTCTCTGGCTTTACTTCCACAGTGTTCTGCCCATTTATTATTTCTTCAAACCAACCAAAGGATCAATGAATCTCTCTCTCTCCATTCACACTCCCTCTCAATCTCTCTCTATATAAATCCCAAAAGGCCAAAACCCCTTCGTCGAAATCTCCATTGAAACTCTCGGTTTCAGCCCTTAAATCCCGAAGCCCGAAATGGCGAAAGTCTTCGATCTTTCCCTGATTCTGTTTGTTCTATGTCTGTCTACCACTGCATCAATCTCCATGGCCAGGAAGCTCGAGGAGTCGACAGAGGACATCGAGTTCGTACGAACTTCTTGTGAAGCGGCTTCATATCCCGACCTGTGCTTCCAGTCTCTTTCTTCATACGCGAGCGAGATCAAGAAACGGCCACGTCAGCTGACCGAGACCGCACTGGCGGTGAGCCTCGACCGAGCAAGATCGGCCAAAGTCTACATCTCCGAACTGACTGACTACAAGGGGATCACGAAGAGACAGCATGGGGCTGTCTCAGACTGTGCCGAAGAGATGGGTGACACAGTCGATAGGTTGAACAAGTCGCTTAAAGAGCTGAAGCATCTGGGCGAGGAAGGACAGAGCGATCAAGACTTCTGGTTCTGCCTCAGCAATGTCCAGACGTGGACAAGTGCCGCTCTTACAGATGAGAACACTTGTCTTGATGGGTTCGGAGGGAAAGCCATGGAAGGGGAGCTGAAAAGCTCGGTCAAGACGCATATTGTCCGCGTCGCTCAGGAGACGAGCAATGCTTTGGCTCTGATCAACGAGTTTGGCTCTAAGCATTGAAAAACCTTTTCTTGAAATCCCGGCTGGGTTTTGGATCTTCTTGAGATTTTGTGTGTGACTTCTCCATGGCTTCTGGTTTTGATTCTCGTCATGTTGTGTTGTATCCACATCAGTTCATGAATGGTGATATTGTAATATAGAAGCATGGCGAATCGCAGATATTTCACTGTATTTAAATTTTATTAAAGAAAGAAAATATTATATCAAGCATGGATAAAATATCGTGACCTTTACAGAACTCCACGGTATTGTGTGTGTGTGTCTCCATCCATCTCTCTGTCTACTGAGATACTGCGACTGACTCGTATACTACAAACAAACAGTGAGAGAGAGAGAGAGAGAGAGAGAGAGAGAGAGAGAGAGAGAGAGAGAGAGAGAGAGAGAAGAGACGAGAGAGAGAGAGAGAGAGAGACGAGAGAGATATGGGCTTAAGGCCCAAACGAGAGAGATATAGATATGGGCTTAAGGCCCGGACGAGAGAATGAAAGAGTTGTGGGCTAAAAGGCCTGGCCCAAATTTCGTCTTTTTTTCCTTCAAAACTCTCATTTTCGGTTTATTCTGGTTTGGTTTGCACAGATTTTATGGTTCGATTTCTGAGTCGGATTGGTTTTCTCAGGTTCTCAGTTTTTTTTTTATGGAAAAAACATACATTTATACGAATATAAAAACACGTACACAACATGCAAATAGCATATAGGTCAACCCCCAAATTAAAACACATACACACACACATATATGTATTATGTATATAATATATATATATATATATATTAAATCGAAATCGTTCCATTTTATATATAAAAAAAAGCTAAGCTTAACGTAAAAAAAGTGCATGCAAATACGTATATATATTCAATAACGTAAACCGGTGAAGAGTGCCAAGGTAATGCTAGTGGTCCTCGCGAGATTCACCATCGCCTTCTTGACCTTCTTCTTCATGTCGGCGTTGACTTTCCTCTCGTCAAACTCGTCCGTACACGTCGTCTCGTCGGTCAACGCCGAGCTCACAAACGTCCGCGCGTTCATCACACGCTCCGCCGCGTCTCCGCCGCGTCGGCTGAGAGTCTTCAACTCCACCGCCGCTTGCTTCAGCTCATCGGCCGTGTCTCTGATCTCATCGAGACAGTCTCTGAGGATGAGCGTTTCCGGCCGTCGGATCGATCCGCACGATATCTGGGCGTTCTTCAGAAGCTTCGACACGACTGAGGAGGCTTCCTTCGCGGCCTTGGCGTTGAGGCTGAGTGCGGTGGTGCAGAGCTTGATCTCATCGGCTTTAATGGCGGACGCGTAAGGCGACAAGGAGTTGTAACACATCGTGGGGTATGTTGTCGAATTGCATGCCGTTTTCACGAACGCCCTGTAGTTTGCGTAGCTCGCTGGCGCAAGGGCTGTCGTTTTGGGGGTGTTTGGTGCGAAAACGACGAGCGTTAGAGAGAGGATTAAGACATGGGAAATGTTTGTGGCGACTCTCGTGAGTTTCATGTTTTTACGGTTTCTTTTTTCTCAATCTCTCGGAGAAGAAGCGAAGCGTATTTATAACAGAGATTGCTTTTGTCTCTACGGGGAGATATAAATATTTTTTTCTTTGGTGTAGGAAATATTAATATTTTAGTAACTTTATATTGAAATAACATTTATTGTACTTTAAGCAGGTGTATATAACATGATTATAAACCTAAAAAAAATAATGACAAATGAATCCAATTCGATAAAAAAATCGGATATTTCTACACTTTTTTAAATCGAAAAATTAAATCTGAATAGAATATAAAAATAAAACACACAAAATCTCATGAGAAAATAAATATTTTTAACCATAAAAACTAGTTAAAAAGTTAAAAAAACCAAATGGATATAATTTTATTAAAATCGAAAAAATTGGATCCGAACATATAACGTGAACCGAAATTAAAATTGCCACCCTACTAAGTTGCTTTTCATGGTGGAAAATACAAGATCGTATATTAATTAGTGTATGCATGTATATATGTGTAATTAATTATTGAGTTTCGTAATAGATTAGAAAAATGGTCAGATCTGTCCCGTAGTTTACGCAGGGGAGATGTGAGGTGGCATTTGATGTGATTCATTTGTCACGAACGTGCCTCAGATCTCGTATTTCGGAGTACAACACCATATCTTATATATATATATATATATATATACACACATACACATCGCATAATGCGTTCCAAAAACTATACGCATTCTATGTACAATACTTTTTGTTTGTTGTTAAATTATTTTTATATTCGATCAAGATTTATTTAATCTAATTTAAAAATACATCCAATCGAATTTTTATATATCTGATCCGATTTGGATAAATTGGATTTGTTACATTTTAATAGAAACATTACACAGATTATGGCCGAACATGCAGAGAGTACATTATGAAGACGAAACTCCATTTCATGAGAGGGGATAAAACTAAAAAGAACCTCGATTTCATGCAAGGATAATCTAATTTTAAATAGTAATTTGTATCTTATTATCACAATATAAATTGATACTAAGATTCATTTTGACGAGATTTCGAAAGAGCAGAAAAAAATGCATGAAATAAAATCTAAAGATGTTAGAAAATTATTCATTTTGAAGAGAAGAGCATCGTCAAAGTATTGACTTAATCCAAAATTGACTCTATCTCTGGATCGAGATAAAACTTCTTTCCAACTCAAGTTCAAACGTATTCAAATGAATTTTTCTGATCTTTGGAGAGATATAGTTAAAACGAAAATATAGTAAATTTTCGAATTATAAAAAAAATAAAAATATTGATTTGTATTTGTTTATTATATAGTACTTTACATCCCACGCTAGGTCTTGTAGTTGTACGTTTGCATGCATGAATCAATACAAACACCTATAAACATACATTGCACCATTTATTATATACATATACAATTCTACACTAATAAAGAAACCTTACATTTTATACACTAATCTAATATGATATTGTTATACCTCTATAATATACATACATGCGATGAAGTTTTGATCCCAATGTGATATGTTTATATGTATATCTCTATAAGATTTTGATTTAAATGGAATAGAGGCCACAATTTTCACAATTTTTTTTTTCTTTCGAATTAGGTAGTCCCGAACCTCGCACACGAATGTGTATTTAATATTATTAGTCGAATTATAAGATAAAGCTTTCAATCTATTCGTAACTCTCCATTTCTTTATATTTTTTTTTTAAATAAACTACAATAAATTGATGAAAATACATATAAAAGAAATGGAAGAAAAAAAACACTTTGAGGGTAGGATACTCCTAAGGGCATCCCCTCAAATCTATATATGATAATAAAAGATATAGGCGATCAAACTTGGACTGAAGAAGTCGCAGCTAACAGTTTGGTATGGCGAACCTGTTGTCGGAAGAAGATGATTGAGCCACAACACGCAGGTCGTGTTGTTGGCCAAAGAGAGATGCTCTGCTTCTGCTTATGTGCTGTTTCTTGAAGTTTCCCTGTAAAAAACGCAGAAGACGTTGAGCATGAACTGAGCTCATGGGATTTGTGGGACAAAGATGATGCAAGGAAGAAGAGGGGAGCAAATGTTTTGAAACTTACATGAACCTCCAAGTCTTTAAACTTTGTAAATGTGTGAAATCACGCGTGTAATAAAAGAAAAAAAGAAAAGAAAAAAAGCATCACGAGTAACATTGTTTTCTGAATCGAGATGAATTTGCTGAAAAAGCTCATGGGAATAGACAAGGATAGTGAAAAACGATCGAATGCTGCGAATGAGTTCAAAACCGATGCGAATCCGTAGACTTAGGAAGCAAAAAAGGCGATGGGCGATTCAAAGAGACAAAAACAAACGAGTGTGGCGCTAGATCCAGGTGAAAAATGTGTGCTTTCATGCTTGTGTATTCCAGACATTCATTGACCATTCCTAAAACTTAACAACCACACAAATGCTAGATTCGCGCTATAAAATGTGAACCCAAAACTTTAAGGCAATATTTTGAAGTACCTAATAGTTGTTGCCTCGAAGATGGAGGAGGTTGACAATGCCCCTTGTCTGCTTCTTTAACGGCTTAATAAAACCGTCTATCTTCGAAAAGCCATGTAAGCCTCTTTGGATTGCTCCGAAGCCTGCGTTTGAAAAAAAAATGACAAAAATACCTTAGTATGAACTTCAAAAAACAGATCCTACCAAGAACTTGGCATCAGGACCAAGATTTGTGCCCTTCAGCGAATCTTTACTCCATAGCCAGAAAGCACGATACCTGTGAAACCAAAGCTTATATAAAGGATTTAGCTGCTGCAGAAGTACAAAGTTTTCAGTACAGAAGCTGACATAGAGGACAGCTTTTAAATTTTCAGAGGAAAAAAAAGTTCAGCAAGAGTTTTATACATTTAATACTAACAGCTATTGGATCGATAACAGTACATTTCAATTGACATTTTATTGAAAATTACACATTGTATACAGGTAAGAGGAAGCAGCAGCCACAAGTACATAGCTCGGAATGGTTACTGCCCTCGATATTGAAGCCAAGGTGAGACTATGAAGAGATATTCTCTGACCCGCCAAGTCATCAACTTCGATAAGTATCCGAGCTTTATTTTTTCTCCAGAGAACGGTGAATAAAGCTACAACAGACTCCAGAGCCTCTCTCTTTTTTTTTTCTCTCTTCTTAAGACAGTATTTAAGGTGCCTCTATATACAGCGGATGTAGCTTCTCGAGGTTTTGGTGGAGAGTAAAACATAAAAACAAGGCTGTGACCTGACTGATTTTATCTGACGGTAGGAATCTTCGAGCTTCAAAAGGAAGAGCTCAACACTTCAAAAAAAAAGTTATCACATCTGGAGAAGATTGTTCACTGTAACCGCAGCAGAATTTGTTCTCTGGAGGTCCTGCAAAAACCGAGTTGAAGCAGGTCTTATATCAAGTCAGAAAAGTTTCGGAAACAGCTGCAAAAACTGACCCATCTATCTCAAGATGAGAATTATGTTTTAGGGAAACGAATACGGAATTCCTTTCGATCTATGCAAACAGAAAAACTACCAAAGTGACACAATACCAGACATGTAGAATTCGGGCCTTCAGGAAGCATACAGATTATTACAATTTGCGTGTAACATTTACCTGGAGAATTATTTCATCTGGCACGTGTGGCAGGACTTCCCTCACGGTCTCGGCCATTGCTAGTATATTCGCCATGTTTTCATTCGCTGTACGAGAGGGAGTTCTCAGATGCAGGCCACCAGCTCTTCCACTGACATCAGGAGGAGTGGATGTAGAAGAAGTTGATGCTTGCGATGCGTTCATCGGCCAGAGACCCCAAGCAGCATCTTCAAGTGCAGTTTGAGCATAGCTTTCCCCAACTGATGCAAGATGCCTCATCATCATCTGAACACGGTCCAGTCCAGCAGATCTGGTGGCTGTGGAGGGACCAGCGGCATCAACACCTTGACCCGACCATGTTTGCAGCCAGCTTGGATCCAGACCTGAATTCCTATTTTGTGTGATAAAAGTAGGCCCTGGTGTCAAAATAGCCCGAGGCCCGATACCCGGCCCGAACCCGCCCGTAAAATTTGCGGGCTTGGGCTTTACAAATCAAGGCCCGTTCGTTTTTCGGGCCGGGCCGGCCCGGCCCGGAAAATTACGGGCCAAAAGCGGGTTCGGGCCGGGTCGGCCCGGCCCGGCCCGTAGGCCCGATTAAAAAAATAAATTATATGTATAAATATATATGTATATAGGTAAATATAGATATACATATATATATTTCACACATATTTGATCATATATATACATTTATTCAATCTTTTATATATATATATATATATATATATATATATATTTTATAATGTATATACATATATAAAAAATATACAAATATTATATAATAATAGAAAGTTCTAAAAACTAAAAACTTGTTTAATACTAAATAATTCAGGATATAATATTTTCATAAATGATATAATCAAAATTATAATACTATTAGTTTCAAATACTTATTCCAAATGAAAAATATAATAAATTATCATTTTTAAAAATTTATTACCATATAAAATTAAAAAATTTTAAATTTAAATTTATATTAGATCAAAATATATAACTTTGTAATCTATTTTTTATTTTTTTAATTATCACGAAATGTACTAAAATTTTTTGTATTTTTATTATTTTAATTTGTTTATAATTTTTTAAAAAAATTTTAAGCCCGAAACCCGGCCCGAACCCGAAAAAAGCCCATAGGGCCGGGCTCCGGGCCGAAGATTTTAGGCCCGTTGGTTTTTCGGGCCGGGCCGGCCCGACCCGTAAATATTCGGGCTTGTGTCGGGCTCGGGCCGGGCTGGCCCGGCCCGGTGATTTTGACACCCCTAGATAAAAGGATGAGAACTAGTACAAACCAAAAATAGATTCAGTTCAAGAGGGCGCTCCTGGACAAGAAATCCCGAGAGAGGCACCAAAACTGATCCTCACAAACCGACAGTTGCTTAATTTCACTTATATTATGAAATTCAACGTGGAAGGAAAGATGCTACTTCTACATACCCAAGAAGAAATTATAACTGAAAAAAAGATCAGTACCTCCAAGGATCTCTTTCAGCAGAATTTGGCATCTCCGTAGGAAATAATCCAGTAGCTAGAGCATGTCCAAGATTGTTTTGTCTGCCATGCTGATGAGCTAACTGCTCAGCATTTGAGACTTCTCCTGTGCGAGGGTTTGCTTCAGTTTCTGTTCTGCCGACAAAAAGAGGCTTACGGCACGTAGGACACGAGTATGCCTCGTTGAGACCTTGATCCAACCTGCCAGTTGCAAATATTAGATGAATAACAATCCGCACAGGATTGCGAGAGAACGCAAGGTTGGTAGACATAGCATACCAGGATCGTAGGCATGAAAGATGGAAAAGGTGATTACAGTGAAGCTTTTTGGCCTTTGCCATAGGTTCCTGTCATTCACAATATAGTCAAGATTATGGAGGAAAATGAAAAGGGTAGATAGGCAAATGTTTCTAAGGCAAAAGCTTACCCGGCATATAGCACATTCATCATCATATGCACGTAACTCTTCCAGAGTTGCGTCAGGAAGTGCTGCATGGAGGGCCCCTAGAGCTACTCTCAGTTTGATGTATCCTCTTATACGTTTTAAAATCGCGCTTAGCAAGGCCTGCCAAAATCAAATACAAATAATACAACAATTGGGGGTTGCCTATTGAGTACCAACAGCAAGCAACACTTTAAAAGAACCAATAGGACACTTACACGTATATTGAGAAACAGAACTGCATCCACCAGATGAAAAGCCATGCCATGAAGCCACCAGATGTGCAAGTAGTGACCAAGGGCCATCACCAAAGTAGCCATGTCCAACAAAAAACCAAGGTTTCGGTTGAGGAGGCCTTTCCATTCCAACAGCGAGCCTACGCCACAGATACATAAAAACCATAAAAGGGTAAGAATTCACACCAGGGATGTGGAGCCTAAATAGAACAAAAACTTCAAGAGATTGAATGTCGAGATTCTAATAGAGAACAATAACAACTGGAATAACACAAAGAAGACAAAACCTGCTGTCATGGAATCAAGGAACTTAGATCCTGGGCAGTCTGAATTCTTGACTGCTACGTGGTTTATCCACATGTCAAGTAGCTGAAACCCATGAATTAGAAGTGCCTACAAAATAATCCATTATGTGACAGCGATCAACCTTCTAGTCCTTCAATCACGGTTTAGAAGAAAATAAAGGTAACATGTGAACAATGAAGAAACTGATATCACTAATGTACCTGCATGGTCTCAAAAGCTATACTGAATGGCTCATAAAGTAACAACAGATACACAGATGAGCCAGTTGTATTGTATATCATTAGTGAGAGCCGTATCCTGCAAGATCAAACAAACAAATGAATTTTAGCACTCAAAACATTGTCTAAGCATTAACCACAAGCTTGGTGATAATCATTCAATCAGAACAGCATACGATACTTCCTAAGGAGATGAATCAAACATATCTCCAGTTTCCTAGTTCAACCGCATGGACAATAAAACAGAAGGAATTTCATGGGTGACACCTTCCTTGCTCGATATAATTGTGGGGCAGTACGCGTATTCAGCAGCAAATTTAGTTGCTTTCATTTCGTCATAGAACAGAGATTTGCATGCATAGATGATTTATCAAGAAGATAATTCACCATGTATCCCAAACATAGAGAGCAAACTGGAAACAGCTATTCATCTTACGCAAAATTCAACAAATTGTTTTTAAAAGATTAGGCCAAATCTAAGAGATGCATTCACTTAAAAATTTAGTTGTCTTGTATGTGCAGGACCAGAACTAGTTTCCACAGAACATATATTTTCCCTTGAAACTATTAGGAGCATCAGCCATGCGCAGAACATTCATAGACACAGATCAATTTGTTTCCCACCTTGGAAAAAATTCAATATCTAAGTTCCAATTATATGTGAGGGAATCATATCTTTCGTAGTTAAAATAAATAAAAAAATAAAGGTTGAAACTCAATATTTATCACAAGCATTAAGGCAATACCAGAAGAGGTCAACAGAGAGAACCAGGAACAACACTGAATACACACGAAGGTATGCCCAAGGTGTAGAAGATGGAGATGCATTCAATCGTTCAAGTCGATCTCTGGCCAAAGCTTGAAACATCTACAACATTACAAGATTGTAAGAGGATGTCTGACAAATAAGTGAAGCTTTTTTATCATAAAATATGAAAGCCTACATTTTCAAAGAGTCTGTATTCCAAACCTTTAGAGTGCACAGGACAGTCAGCCAGATCGTCCATAGGACCCCCTGAAATATTGTTGGTGGAACAACTAATGGCAAGAACGTTCCCTAGACAGAGCCAGTAACAAAAATTTAGTCTACAAATATAAAAAATATATGTATGGACTGCAAACTCAAATTACAAGTTTACAACAAAACAAAACAGATGCTAATGCAAAAGAAGTTAAAAGGGAAAAATTATATCAATGTAGCAGATGTATTTGTCCAAGTAAACACATCTTTAAACCATCGCAACTTATTCTATTTCTGCTTTTCCATTACACTGCTATGTATGGTAAGACCTTTGTGCAGTAGTCAAGATATTCAGTGATGGATACCACTCATATATCATAAAGACGGAATGCAGGATTTCCTCTGCTAAAATCTACTGTCTTGCAAAAAAGATGAATAATTACCTTGTAAATAATGTAATTCGCAAGGCGCTCCAGTAACTTTTTTGTTTCAACGGCATACAAATATCCGAAAAATAGAGTCTGCAAGAAATGTCCAAGGACCATTAGAACCAAAAAAATGGTCCAAATACATTCCAAAGAGAAATAAGCAATCAGTATGTAACAAACCTATCTACGCTAGTGACGTTACTGAGGCCAACAGACAGCATAGAGTTCTATATCCTTGAGATTTATCATATCATATAAGCCATTAACCAGCAAAAGACAAAAATAGATCCGGAAATTTGCTTCCTACCAATAGTACTTTATTTGAACACAAAAACTATTTTTGATGCTGCAGCTTATAACCAGAATAAGACCTATACATTGGATCTCTTGCAAACAGTAGCACAACCAGTTACGAGATGTTGGATATATTGAACACATAGAAATAGTTCCACAGCAGCAAGAAAACCTATAAGGGTAAGAGTAACGCGGTTTGAGAAAACATCATAACCGTACGTATGCCTAAAGTGTTATGAAGACAACATTTTTAAATTTTTTCATGGGCACCTAAACAAGTTCAAGTTCAATAGCAGCAGAATATCACTCTTACCTTGAGAGAAAGAACCAGAAGAAAATATACATTGAGGGCAAAATTTGCAAGCAATGCAATTGTACCGAAAGAACCCAGAAGAAATTCAAGGGCACGCTCGGAATCCCCTAACGAAATATTACGGCCGATTAGCCCATCTGCTCTGAGTTTATTCAATGACAGCTCTGCCCAAGCTTGAAGACCAACAAAGCTCAGAGCCGTTGATGCCACCGAAATCGGCAAATACCTTATACCCATCAGGAATTATTACTGCCTTCACACTGAATCTCAGCCCCCGGAATCTCATCTAATCAAATTAGCATGATGCTACCTGCATTAGCACAATTTTCAAGCAGTACTAACTTAGATGGGCTGAACAGCCATAAACGATCAAACAATGTACCAAAGACAGAATCTTCATAATCATCTATCAGTTCAGGAACTCTTGAAATTTTATCATCAGGACCAAGTATAAGGGTAAGATAGGATCCTTCCATTTTGCATCAGAAGGAAGATAATGCAGGATCTATAGAGCAAAGGCCATTGAGCTTCACAACATCAGACAACCAAATCCGATTCTTGCCTTTCTTAGAAAAGATTAAGTTCTTCCCTGTGTTCGAAGATGAATCCGGGATAGAGAAAATCAATAAATGGTATCATCCACCGTCAAAACGGGAATTGTTCGATAGCTAAAATGATACAGAGGGCGATCGTCTTGACTCTCCAGATTCAAAACCATCGAGACAAAATCCTAACACCGTAAATTAAACACAAAAACCAAAACGAAACTGGGAAATTCATGGAACCGAAGGACCAAAATGAGCTGAAACAGGGGAAATTTCCAGAATTCAGCTATCGAAATGAAAAGCATCAGCAAACAAAAAGAGTTCTACAACGATGAACGATGGATCAAAACGTGAGAACCTGATTCCGCGAAGTTGCCGATTGAAAATTCTCTTCAGCACCGATTGCCTCTCTCTCTCGATCGAGAAGGAAAAGTAAAAGAACAGAAACCTAAAGCGTTTTCTTCAGATTTTTTTCTTTATATATACGAATAAAATATAATAAAAATAAAGTAAAGCAAAAGTACATTGAACTCCAATCTATACTCTAATATATATTTGCCTGCCAAAAATAATTACTATATTCGACAAAAAAATTTGTTTTACTTAATTCATATATTATTTATTCAGTTATTGAAATGTGTTTTGGCTTACGATAAAAGGCTTAATTATTTCGAGTTTCTAGATTATGATTATAATTTATTTGGTCTTCAATATGTTGCATGATTAATTAGTGTTTAGTTTGGCGACGTTCATTAAATGAGAATATAATGAAATCTGGTGTTTATATTTAGGCTTTTGATTAGTTTTCTTTCAATTTTAGGTTTGATTCCCTTTGATTTTTTTTAAATATTTATCTTCATATGTAATATGAGAATTTAATTAATTTAGTTTTGAAAAATTATATCAATTTACCTACATATATTTTGTTCCACTTGGAGTTTTTAAAAATTTATTAGAAATTATAAATGAAAAAAATTATAATTTCTCTTTAAAAAAAACTAAGCACTTCTTATGTTGCTTTTAAATATTTTAAACATATGTATATTATTTAAGAAAATATCACTTGAATGGACGTAGATTTACTTTTCTATTTCAAGATGTCATATTCATAGTAATTTATAGAGATGGACATTTTGGTTGAGTTCAAATAATATTTAAATTAATTTTGATTTAAATTTTTAAAAAATTAAATTAAACCAAATACTAACAGTTCGTAAAATTCTAAAACGATTTAAAAATTAAATAAACATGATTTTCAAAACTAAAAACTAAATAATGAATTTTACTATAACTTGAATATCTACCTGCAAATGATATTTTTATTAAAATGTTGGTCAAAATGGGAAGAAAAAAAGGCCTTCCATGATAAACATACGTATAATGGCGTCCCAAGTTTGAATGGGCCCAAGCGAGCCCAAGATATCGGGTTTAAACGATAAACGACATCGTTTGCTCCAAATCTTATTTATTCGATTATTATGGTCATTTTGACGAAACCTAAATTGGAATTTCCTTTCGAGAACCCTCTTGCAGTGATTCCCTCTGCAGAAGAAGCTCTCTGTCTGAACCCGCGATCAATTTCTGATTCCGAACCTTATTTTCTCCGATCAGCGTTTTGATCGGACGCCTGAAAACCCTAATTCGAGCATCATAGAGGAGAAGGAAGAGGAGATGGGGTTTATACGGAGCAGCTTCTCGTTCATCGCGGGCACCGTTTGCGGGATCTACATCGCCCAGAACTACAACGTCCCGAACATCAAGAAGCTCGCGGAATCCACCTTCTCAACGGCCAAGCAAGTGGAGGAGAAGTATCGCAAGCCCAAGCCCAATAGCAGGGACGAGAGTTGATCGAGTTCCACCGGCTTCTCCAGCAAAAAAAAAGAAGAAGAAAAAAGGGTCTAAATTTTCATGTGAATTTGATACTTTTTTTCTTATAGTGTTGTGGGTAAAGTGGACGATTGGGATCATGGGTGATTAGAAAGTCGCGATCGGTCTTCTACGATTTCAGTTGATGGAAACTGAGATTTTGTATCTAGTTGCCAAAATTCTCGGCCTGATTTATCATTTTAATGCACAGCGTTCTTCTGGGATGATGATCCCTTATATATATATATATACATATATATAGTTTGGATTGCACATGCGGGATGAACCTCAGACTTACTTCTCTGACAAGAAAGACTTGGCTTTGCGAGATGTTTTTGGAACTCAGTTAGAGTTGTTGTTCTGCTGTAGATAGAGAAGTAGTTGTTCATCGTCAAGTGCCTCTTCTGGGTTAGGCATATAGGTTTTGTTTCAAAGATATATAACTTTGGTTTCAGGAAATGTCTTCCTTTGAAACATTGTGGAACTTCAGCAGGGAGAGTTATTTTTCGCATTCACACCTTCAGAAAACTGGCAAAAGACCGAAGAAATGCAGATGAACAAAAGAGTCGAGAGTCGAGACAAGAATCTCTCTTGTGAAAATTTGGAAGACACCCAGAAACCTTAACACAAAACACCAGATGAAACAGCAGGAAAAGGGACTTCAGGTCAGGTGAGGACATCAATGGGAGGTCTGGATAAAGGTGCAGATATGGCCTCTTCATCAGCTGATCCAGACAGCTTAGCTTGCACTTCTGCAATGACAAGCTTTGTAAGCAATAACCCCGAGACGAATGCTGCGGCCATCAGCATGTAAAACACTGCGCTCCAACTGATGGCAGAGATGTAACCCGTGAGGACCGGTCCGATGGCGGCTCCAATGGAACCTGTCCCATCTATAATAGCGGTAACAGTAGCCACAGCCCTGGCATTGCCTTTCAGCGATTTATGGGTACCGAGATCAGCCGAGACAGCAGTTGTGATGAGAGCATAGGGACCGATGACAAACATTCCAGCTATGAACATGAGGATGACATTGATGGCCATGGAGATGTGGCCATAGATTCTGTAGAGGAAAAGAGCCGGGATGGCTAAGTAGATGAATCCTGCTGCTGCAGTGGCTCGGGCATCGAGTTGATCCGAGACATATCCTGCTAGGATCCCTCCAACAACGCCTCCCACGTCAAAGAGGGTAGACAAGTTTCCCGCTGTCTCCTCCGACAGATACTCTCCTCCAATCTCTGCAACATGTTGAGAGAGAATGTCTGAATCTTTAACCAAACAACACACAGTGCAAGCAGGAGGGAGGATGAAAGATACAGAATGATATGTCCTAGGTATTAAGTTGAGTCTTTTCCTACTCTGATCTATCTAATAGTCTTAATGATGAACAGGGCAGAGGAACAAGAAATCAGGACATACCGGTGTGGCTGACATAGAAGGGAAGCCAGTAGAGGAAAGTGTAAGAAACCAACTTGGTAAAGAAGAGGCAGAGGGCGAAAGGAGCGACACCGGGAATTTTCCAAGCGGACCAGAACCCGACAGCTCTCCTGTCAAGTCCGGTGCTCATCCGAGAGCTCACTAGTAGGCTCTCTGAGATAGTGTCCCCGAGCCTCATCGTGGAATCCACTTCAGTCCCATCTCTCTCGGCCCCCACAGCATAAGGATTCACCGGCAGGAAAAGGTACACCACAATACCTAGAAAAGTTATGAGCAATGCAGGACCCACAAAAGACCATCCCCAGCCGTATTTCAGCAAACCAGACGCGATCAGGGACCCGATGATGTTGCCAAGCGATGTGTGAGCACTCCAGATTCCCATGATCATTCCTCTCCTCCTCTTGTCGAACCAATTCCCCAAAAGGGCGACCACACAAGGCCACCCGATTGACTGGAACCATCCTGCAAGGGTCTGATCCCCAAGGAAATAGTAGAAGCTGTGGATATTGGCCCATTGTCCGACCCCAAACAGGGCTGTGAACAGTCCTGTCCCGATCATTCCTATTGTCAGAAACGTCCTGAGGTCTAACATATCACCCAAGTGGCCAGCGACGAACATCCCAATGGCATAGACCGAGAGGAAAGCCAAGTCTATCTGGCCAAGCAAGGCGGGTCCATCCGAGCCATCAAACGGGGCCCACCCTCTCCCGTCAGCCCTGTTGAAGTGTCCAGTTGAGGGGTCGGTAAGTGTGCCCTTGACAATGCTGTTAGGCTTTCGGGAAGCGTGGAAGGCGGTGTAAGAGACGAAGGTCAGGACAAAGACAATGGCTTGGTAGTTCTTGAAGGAGAGTCTTCCTGAGGGTTTGAGCCGTTCCAGGAACTGAATGCCCCATGGCTTGGTTTCCTCGTACAGAAACCGGGATGAAGTCCACGACGACATGTTCGGAACCTGAAGAGACGACAAGAAATATCTGTATTCATTCATATGGAAAACATTTCAGACATTATGAAAGATGGGTGTTTCTACTCCTTGTAATGGAACTTCGAGTTCATGTTTCTTTGAACAGGTCACTTACAAGTCTACAGGGACTCGATGGATTCAAGGACAGAAACTAAAGAACATATCATCAATACGTCGTATTCTTGACAAAGAATGAGTTTATAAGATTGCCTCTTTATCATCTTTTACTTGGGAAAGAAGAAACCTTTGGTATTCAATGAGCAAACAGGACAGAAAATATGTTGGAAAATAGATGTAAGGATTTATATGAAACAAATGAGATCAAAAGCGATCAATCAGCTTACCTTTGGATTATGAAACCTAATTTGGGAAGAAATAATTTCAACTCTCTCTCTCTCTCTCTCTCTCTCTCTCTCTCTCTCTCTCTCTCTCTCTCTCTCTTATATGGTCGGACAAGCTGTGAGGGGAAAACGTTACTTCACCGACGTGAGATTAACTAACTTGAACATCAAGTAACTACTTAACCAACGTGAGATTAACGAACTTAGTGATCGTGTTAAATACCAATTTTGCCCTTTGTTTTGTTCATTCGTTAGCTCATGCCTTATCTGTCTTCTGACTCTTCTTAACTCTCCGACATTACTTAACGCGTATGTATTCATGCAAAGCTCGTATTCGAATTATGTATATACGGCTATATATATAATACTCCCTCATTGACGTTTTACCTTTTTCAACAAATTTTAAAAAAAAATTTGAAAAAAGTCACATATACCCTTATTTTTATTACAGACAAAATTGGAAATTTATTTAAAAATTTGTCTAGAAAATCTAAAATGTGTATGTATCTACGCAAGTATGCAAGTGATACCAATTATCTGATCCAGATGATTTAGTTTATATATAATTATTTCCGACACGGTGAAGGAAACACCAGAAGGTATTGGGGATTTTTTTTTTTAAAAATAAAATATGCATAATCGTGACAAGCAAGCAGAGAGATGTTATTAATTTTTTACATTATTTTAATGATGATGATGATGATCATCCAAAAATCCTCCTTACAAATTTTTTTTTAAAAAAAAAATCAGTGTCAAGATAGGGGAAATAGCTGATATACCCTCTTGGTGCTATTTGTACTTCTGATGATACCCTCAAAACAAAAAATTAAACAAAAAACTCTCTTTCACATGTCAAAGACACAAACACCCTCAAATATTTATGAAAAGACCAAAAACCCTTCTTTTTTTTAATTTAAAAAATTCAAAATAAAAAAATAAAAGTAACAACTTCATTATCTTCTCTCGTGGTTCTTCTCTCTCTCCTACCTTTCACCATTTTTATTCTCTCTCTAAAAAAATCACAGATTTTTATTGTTAAATCTCAATTTTCCTTCAGTTTTCTTTAAAAAATTTCGTTTTCTCTTTAAATCTTAAACTAGATTTGAGATTCAAAGAAGAAAAAATGACGATAACAAAGAACGTAACTTCAAAATCATCTTTATTTTATTTCACTTTTATCATCTTCATTCGTTCCCTCTCTTATTTTCATTTTTTTTTCAATTTTTCTTTCGTTCTCTCTCTCAAAATCGTCGAACTCTCCTCCATCTCTCGTCGATTTGTGCCTTAAATCTCGATTTCTCTCATAAATTTCGTTTACCCATCAAAATCTTAGGTTACATTAGAGATTGAAAGAAGAAGTAACGACGAGAGCAAAGAACATGATTCAAGTTCATCTTCCTCGTAATCTTCGAACGAGAATGAGAATTGTATGGTAATTAAATTTTGATTTTTTTTCAGATTTGTTTGATTTTAGATTTCTTTCAATTGAATTGAAGGTGGCTTCGAGATTGATCGATAAAAGTATTAAAGTTTTGGATATTTTTGAAAATTTCGAGATTTTGAAATAAAATGTTGTGTTTGTGGTCAAAATTGAGTGAAATTGATGAATTTCGATCACATGAGGATTCGAAGGATAAGGTCACACGGTCAGAGTCATAAAGCATTTGAGAAAGTCAGGACTGGATACATTACAGAGTCCAAGTTTCGAGAAAGAGCTTTTGTCACACGGAATATGGATTACAAATATTGTAAGTTTATACGGTCACATGGTCACACGGTCACATGGTTACATGATCACATGATCACACAGTCACATGGTCACACGGTCACATGATCACACAGTCACATGGTCACACGGTCACACGGTCACACAGTCACACGATCACACGGTCACATGGTCACAATGTCACACGGTGATATCTGGATAATATTGCTGACATATGTTATGTCATCTCGTTCCGACGGCATGTCTCTTGGGTGGATCAAAATCTTTATCTGATGGTGATGTACTCGACATTTAGTATATGGAGGGACTACCGCAAAATGATAACGGTTGTGAATATAGTGTTTTTGCAATCAACTATGTTGAAGCGATTTATAGAGGTAAAGAACATACGTTGTGCCCCTTGATATGCGACGACAACGTCATCCTGATCCGTGAGCAGGTGATGGCTACAATATTTATCCGTGGTAAAGTTCAGAGTGTTAACTTTTATTTTACCAAGTGCTTTGTTTATTTTGTTTTGAATCCTAATTATGATTTTTTTTTGTTTGTTTGATAGCATGAACTTTTATTTTCGGTTTTTATTTATTAAAAATATAAATTTATTTATATTTTAGAGAAAAATCTGGGTAGAAATTGTTGTTGAGAAAATTTTGGACTTAAAACGTTGAAGGGAACATATATACGGCTGAATTCAAAGTGGAGGAAAAAAACACCTTACAAAAAAAACTGCATTTTTCGATGATTTTATGTGAAAGTGGAGTACACCAAAATATGTTGAATTTTGTTAATAAAAAATCTGAATTTTTTAATATTTTACAGAAAATATTAGGTGAAAAATATTGTAGATAAAATTTGAAGTTAAAAATTGAGAGAAAAAAATATAGAGTTGAAGAATTATATAGGGTTGAATATTCAAACTGGATCCCACATTAAAAATAAAAATAGAAATAATAAGTGTGGACCCCAGAAACATAAAAATCTGTTGAAATTCTGACTAGTTCTTCGTGTGGACCCCACAGTAAATTTCGGTCACAATGGGTCACAGTCGGTCACAACCTTCGATCCATGCGATTTTTATTAATTTAATCACTTTACAATGTTACACGTCTCTCATAAACCTATTTTATATTGTTTCAAACATTAAAATGTTGAAGGGAACATATATACGGCTGAATTCAAAGTGGAGGAAAAAAACACCTAAAACAAAAACTACATTTTTCGATGATTTTATGTGAAAATGGAGTACAACAAAATATGTTGAATTTTGTTAATAAAAAATCTGAATTTTTTAATATTTTACAGAAAATATTGGGTGAAAAATATTGTAGATAAAATTTGAAGTTAAAAATTGGGAGAAAAAAATATAGATTTGAAGAATTATATAGGGTTGAATATTCAAACTGGACCCCACATTAAAAATAAAAATAGAAATAATAATTGTGGACCCCAAAAACATACAAATCTGTTGAAATTCTGACTAGTTCTTCGTGTGGACCCCACAGTAAATTTCGGTCACAATGGGTCACAGTCGGTCACAACCGGTCACAACCTTCGATCCATGCGATTTTTATTAATTTAATCACTGTACAATGTTACACGTCTCTCATAAACCTATTTTATATTGTTTCGAACATTAAAATATAGTTTTTACTATTTTTATGTTTCAAAGTTGTTATTCCAAATGTGTTCCTATATGTTTCATAATGTTTTATGAGTAACTTTGATAAATTTGGTATATTTCATTTACAAACCCCTTAAAATATTTTGAAAATTTTTCATACACGCTATATATTTGATATATAGACTCTGATAAACCATCCCAAAGTTTAAAAACTGAATTTTGACCTAGATTTATCAATACATTTCGGTCACAGGTCACAGTCGGTCACAATGGTCACACAGTGCAAAATTGCACTTCGGTCACATGATCACAGGCTGGTCACAATGGGTCACAACGATGACTCATATGAGTCAACTTATTTAGTGTGTAATAAGAGTCACATATATGCTAAAATAAATAGTAATTATTGGGTAACTATATTTACTCAGAATTATTTTAATACATTATTATACAAAAAAAATTATACATTATTGTACAAACACAATATAACATTATTATACAAATATTTTTGGACATTATTATACAAATTTTTTTAACACATTATTACACAAAATAAAGTACACCATTATTAAATAAATTTTGTCTCTTCATTCCAAATTAGGCGTTCTCTCCGACATTGTCGATGTTAATGTTTCCTTTGAATAATTAATGATGTACTGTATTGATATAATAATGTGTTCATAAATAAGTTCAGATACAAATTAGGCGTTCTCGCCGACAAGTTCATATATAAATTCAGATACAAAATAATCAAAAACAAAAAATTAAAGTTCATAATTTAGGATTTTACAAAACAAATAAAAGGGGGTCATAGTTAATGTCCAAACACAAAAAATAAGTCACTTGGTAAAAAAATAATTCACGTTTTTTTCGTCACCTTGCCATGAACAAATATTGTGGCTGCCAACTACTCATGATTCATGAAGACATTATCGCACATATCAAGGGACATAACGTTTGTTGTTTACCAAGATAAATTGCATCAATATACTTTATTGCAAAAATACCACATTCACAACCGTTATCATTTTGCGGTTTCTCTCTCCTCCTGTTGTAGACGTTCTCCTACCATTCACGTAACACTTTGTCAATATACGATGTTAGGCTTTAAAGACCATGTGACTATGTGACCATGAGACCGTGTGACCACGTGACCATGGGACCGTGTGACCATATGACCTTATCACCCTAATGATCTATGTCAACCATTATCCTAATGGCTCGTGACCCATATGACTATGTGCCCGTATGTAACCTTTATGACCTATATATTGTGATCCGTATTATTGTTGTAATCCATGAACGATATGCACATTGTTACCTTTGTGCTCTATATGTCCACTTTGACTATTATGATAGATAACTGTGTGATTCATGACTCAATTATATTCTAAAAACACTTAAACACAGATTTGATATGGATCTATGACAAAGTTTAGTAAATAATAATAAAAATATATACAAAAAACGTTAAAACCATCAATATTCATAAAAAAGACGGGGATTTTCGACTGCCGCTTATATATTTCTAAGTTTCTGTTTGATTTCATACAGATTTTACTATGATTTTGTCAAAATTTGAGGAAAAAATCCCAATTTCAGAGGAGAGAGAAAATAATGTAGAGAGAGAAAGCTTCAATCGAAAGAGAAGAATGGAGGAGAGAGAAATCCTAGTTTTGAGGAGAGAGAATACTGATTTTTATTTTAAAAAATAAATATAAAATAATATTATAAGGTTATTTTGGTCAATGTACATTTGAGAGGGTATTTTGGAAGTAAATTTTTTTTTTGGATAAGAGGAGGGTAGATGTAGAAGTCCATTTAGCACATTGAGGGTAAAAGAGATAATCCCCCGTCAAGATATCCTTCAACTGTAACAACTATTTAGCCTATATATATATATATATATATATATAAAATTTAGTGCACACTTCTTTTGTACAATATACTTTGTCCTGTTTTTGCCTCAAATGTGTATTATGAACTTGAAATTATACATCGTTTTGAAAGACTATTTCAGGTTCAATTTTTTTTTTATGATGTAGAATAATATACTTATTCAGTTTTTCATCCGATTTCAATTTGAAGCCGTTTTTCTAAAAACAAATCGTTCATTTTCTATATATAAAAGAATTCATTCTATTTTTTTTAATCGATTTCACTTCGAATTCGATTACATTTGTTTAATAAAAATCATATCCAATTAGTTTTTAACACGAATTAAATATTTTAGATTTGTTTTGATTTTAAAAAAAATATATTCATTTGATTTTTGTATTTTTTTCAGTCTTTCAGTTGAATTAATATTTTATTTTCATTTTACATCTTGTTTTTGCGTTACTTCGATCAATTTATTTTGAAAAAAAAAGTATATACGATTTTTTTTAAATAAGATTCGATTTAAATACAATTAGTTGATTTCTGTATCCGTTTTAAAATTTGCGACGATTAAATTCAATTACTAAATACGAAATCACAAATTCATGGTCTAGATACTTTATAATACATATAATTTCATTCATTAAATTGTTAGAGAGAGAACCGTCATAACAAGGTGATCTTGAGATATTCGACCTCAAGTTTAAATCTATATTTTTCGAGTTTTGGTCTAATTTCTGATCGTAACCCAAAAAAAAACTGATTCATATTTTATAATACATACGACCTTTGAATGTTATTAGAGAAAAAACGAGAAAAAAGGCGTTTCGCGTTCTTGCCAAAGCGAGCTAAACGTCGTCGTTTTTATATCATCTGCGCTCGCGCAGGAAAAAAAAAAACCCTAATCATCATCGTCACCACCGCCCCTGCTGCATTTTTTTTCTCTCTCGGTGTTCGTCATTCCCCTGAGAATTCCCCAACAATAATTTGTAATTCGAGTCCAGACTTTCTCAGGTTCTATCTTTATCCACTTTGATTCCACTGTAATCCGCCATGGATGCTCAGCGAGCTCTGCTAGACGAACTCATGGGTGCAGGTGACTTGCCAAGAATTTATTGGTTTACCTTTAGGGCTTTGTTGGTTTTTTTTTTGTGTAATGGCTAAAATATCGAACCTTTCTTGCGATCTTTTGCAGCTCGTAATCTGACGGATGAAGAGAAAAGAGGGTTCAAAGAGATTAAATGGGACGACAAGGAGGTCTGTGCGTTTTATATGGTTCGATTTTGTCCTCACGACCTCTTCGTCAACACCCGAAGCGATCTCGGTTAGTCAATCTTTAACTAGTTCTGTTTATGCTATGGTAATTAGGGTTTACAAAAATATAGGAAGTTCATCTCCAGCTTCTATGTTCCTGTCGGAATAGTGAGCTGCAGTGTTCGTGTTTATCGATTTTGATCTTATGTTTTCTGTCTCAGGGGCATGCCCAAGAATTCATGATCCAAAGTTGAAAGAGAGGTGAGGCTTGAACAAGTGAATCCTCTCTCTCATCCATTTTATGGTTGCCCGGTTTAAGGGTTTAAGTGAAGTCTTCAATAAATTTACGTGATTCCTATGTGCCAACATTTGATCGGTTCCATAAATTTCCGTCTTATTGTTTGGCTCTGTGTCTTCAGCTTTGAGAATTCTCCAAGACATGATTCCTATGTGCCAAAATTCGAGGCTGAACTTGCTCACTTTTGCGAGAAATTGGTGGGTTATGCTTGTTAGTCTTCTTTGTTTCTGATCATAACTTATAGCCGTTATCGTCAGCTAAATCATGGGCATGTTTACAGGTGAATGATCTTGACAGGAAGGTTAGGCGTGGACGAGAACGCCTTGCGCAAGATGTTGAACCTGCCCCACCTCCTCCTCTATCTGCAGAAAAAGCTGAACAATTGTCTGCTTTGGAAGAGAAAATCAAGATCCTTTTGGAACAAGTGGAGGCACTTGGTGAAGCTGGTAAGGTAGATGAAGCTGAAGCCCTAATGAAGAAGGTAATTTTGCGTGAAATCTTGTATTTGCACCTGCTGAATTATCAATTCTTCTTCGATTTTATTAGTTTTGGCACTCATACTGAGTTGGATAATGGCGTTTACCAGAAATAAACTGCTAATGAGTGGATCAAACCCAATTTCTTCCTATTTGTAGTTTCCCCTTGTGTCATGCAGTTTCTGAAATTGTGAAGATCTAGCGCATTGATGTTTTCTGTTTTTGGTAACTCTTGTAGGTGGAAGAGCTTAACTCTGAGAAGGCAGTGTTGTTACAGCGACCAAATGACAAGGTATTAGCAATGGCACAGGAGAAACAAATGGCATTGTGCGAAATATGCTGTTCATTCCTAGTGGCGAATGATGCCGTTGAGAGGACTCAGTCCCATGTCACCGGAAAGCAACATGTCGGTTATGGTATGGTCCGGGATTTTCTCGCTGAATACAAGGTAAGTTTCAAATGAAGAACAGTAACCCGTTTTGCCTAATGTCATTGTTCCTCCTCAAAAATGATGGACTGAGGTTTCTTTCCAGGCTGCTAAAGAAAAAGCAAAAGAAGAAGAAAGGCTATCAAGAGGAAAAGAAGCAGATGATAGGAAGAAACAGAGGGAGAAGGAATGTGAGAGTAGAAGAAGGGGCGGCTCTAGTGATAGGGAAAGGTACCGTGATCGAGATCTGGACCGTGAAAGGTCTTATGACAGAGATTGGAGATCACGGGGTGGAAGAGATGGACGCGATCGAAGCAGATCACGGTCTCCTCGCGGGAGGCATGGCCACAAAAGGCACCACTCCAGAAGTCCCGTTCGGCAATACTAGTTTGATAACGTCTTTTCTATATCTCGGGGGCCTGGACTGGACTTTGCAATTTAATGAGGTAGACAAATGTGATATCCCCTTAGTTTTATGAGCATGGGTTTTACTGAACCTCCTTTGTCAAGTTATCATGATGGGTGAAACATCTTTCTACCATTCACAGCTTTTTCTGAGAGTTGAGACCTTACCTTACCAATGTCTCCTTCATCGGTTTATTGTTAAAAGTTCAAAAGGGTTGAGGTAGGTGTACTCATATAACTCTATACCTTTTACCCTGTATTTCTCTCGAGGCATTTCTCCAACCGATTAACTTCAATGCATCTGCCTCGAAACAGTCTTTTAGCTATCTTTTTTGTGTGTGTTTTTCTGCATCTGTTTAGGTCTTATATCCCTTTCTTGTTCTGATCTGAAGTGATGTAAGGCAACAGAATCAGGGTATATCGGCTTGAATGAGGATCTCGCAAGGGGAAGAAGATAATGCTTTCTCGAAAGCTCGGAGGTAACCAACATACGACAGAACTCACCCTGCCTTGAAGATTTTGAGTTTCTAGTTTCGGTTTTTATGATCTCATCTGCATATTAGCGTCAGGTACAAAGAACATGTCTGGCTTAATATCAGGGATGATGAACTCTCCCTTTCGGGTTTAGGTTAAACCCGGAAAGCATATCGGCTTGAATGAGGATATCCGGTTTAGACAGGATTGCTGCCTGATCGTTTGATCATTTCGGCCATAACCATTATCCCACAACTTCTGCAGAGTTGAATTGATTGTGATAATCTGATAACTCGAAGAAGGTAAAAGATTTTATTTATTTATTTATGTTCTGTGTGAGGAAAAGCATTTGCTGGTTGCAGGGTTTCCTTTGAACAGGGCATGAACTTGTTAGATGCAAGTGCGAAAAAGAACAGAAATGTCTATGCGCTTTCAGCCATGGAAGATCTGTTGCTGAGTTCTTGTCCTGTTGCTTTTTTGTGTTCGCAGATCACATTGCCGAATCTATTACATTGGTCTCTCAAGTGGCTTATTTGGTTTAACAGATTTTTATATCGTATTTCTGATTAGAATTTAATTTTAAAATTGGTTTAAACATTCTTTTTAGTTTTGTGTTTATAAAACAATAGATATTCGGGATAAATCTTGGGAAAAATTAGTAAAAACGATAACAATGAAAATACGTAACGAAAAACAATAAAATGTAAATCTAAATGAATTATAAATAAATAGACATTTTATACTAAAAAGAATAGTTGGAATAGAGAAAGTTCGGTTGTGTTAAACTGTTAATGTCCGTCCTAAACCGATGGGCAACTTGTGTTGAACCGATTAATTCACCGGTTCAATTTCGTCGAACCGGGAAGAATTTGCTAAAGGGCCCAATATTATGAAAACGATGCCGTTTAATAGGGAGATTGCTTAAACGGAGTTGGTCAACAAACTTGCGAAGACCAAGCGCTGATTACATCCTTTAGACTTTTTACTCTTTGATTCTTGAAACCGCATAGACTGTAGGGGAAAAAACATGATGACTTGAATTTGGAGGAGAAAAGCTGAAATTTCGGCAAACTTCGAGGACCTGCAATTTCTTTGAATTTCGGAGGTCAGATTCGGTGGATTTGTGATTTTTCTCGCGGTTTCTCGGGAACCAAACACCGGGGAGAAAATTTCTCCGTGAGGCTGATTTCCGATTGGGTTATTATTGGCTGCAGATGGCGGACGGAGGAGCGCCGTCGAGGTACGTTAAGTTGAGGAAGGAGCAGGCTCCGGTCGATGACATTAAGCCCGGCGAGCTCAATCAGCCGATCGAAGTCCCTCAGGTCTCTCTCTCTCTCTCTCTCTCTCGATCAATTAATCACCCGATTTGTGTGTTCGATGATGTTTTCTCCCGATTCTTCAACACGGATCTGAGGATCTCATCCTGAGGTTTGTAGTTTCCTGGTGTAATTCATGTGATGCTTGTTTGGTTTCTTATAAGAGAAACGATATGATAATGCTCGGAATACTTGCTTTCCTGTCTCTTGTTTTTCCTGAACTGAATGAATCTTCTCCAGATTGGATGTGGGTTTGCTAATTTCGGTAAGAACACCAAACCCAACATCGATTTTCGCCGTTCAACCGAATTATGTTTCTCTGTAGATTTCTGCTTGTATCTGTTTCTCGTGAGGAAGTGATGTTTGTGTTTGTTCTTCAATCCGATCTCTGAAAGATATGATGAAGAGAGCTTCTTCTGTCTGTTTCACTGATCTTATGAACTTCTTCCACAGCTTAATGTTCGTAAGTGCAATGAGTGTGGCCAACCTCTACCTGAAAACTTTGAGCCTCCTGCCGATGAGCCCTGGACCACTGGAATTTTCGGCTGTGCTGAGGACACGGATAGTTGTGAGTTGTCCCTGTGGTTTTCATCCTTTGGGTTTATTATATGCTTGTCCTTTATGAAATTATAACCTCAAAGAGTTCTAAAATCTCTTCCATGTTAACCACTCTTGGGTTTCCGATGTTTATCTTTGTAATTCCTGATGTGGGCTTCCAGTTTACTAATCAACACCCTTAATGCTTGGGGAATTCCTTGCAAACGTCAAAACTTTGAGTGAAAAACGTGTTAGAATTTCATGGAATCGAGTGATAGACCCACTTTGAGTCAAGAGCCTCATATCTTACCTTCAATCTAGTCACATTCTTCATGTCCTGAGAAAGTTGATTCCGGTATCGTGTTTTTTTCATTAATCTCTAGCGAAGTATGATGACAATTTTATCCTCTCCAGATTATATCGAATTCACTTCCATGTTTTAAACCTTTGAAGGCTGGAGGGGACTTCTCTGCCCGTGTGTTCAATTTGGGCGTAACTTCGAAAATCTGAGTGATGATGATGATACCCATGGGACCAGGGCATGTGTTTGCCATGCGATTTTTGTAGAAGGGGGAATGGCACTGGCAGCAGCAACTGCCCTTTTTCATGGTATAGATCCTCAGACATCGTTTCTCATTTGCGAGGGTTTGTTGTTTGCTTGGTGGATGTGCGGCATATACACGGGAAACGTTCGTCAGTCTTTGCAAAGGAAATACCATCTCAAGGTAATCAGAAAGTTGTTCCCTTTAGGTAACATCTAATCCCACTTCGGAATTGAACGAAAAACGGGTCAATGAAAAAGCATGAAGCTTGTAAAAATGGGAGATTAAGGATTTCTCTGTCGATTAGATCTATTGAACAGATCCATTATGTGAGATGATAGTCATAAAAAAACGGTCAGTAACTGACACATATAGTAAAAGGAACTAGAAGTTGACAAATCTCGTAACTTTCTATCTGTTTTTCATTTGTTGGCAATGAACTAGAAAGTGATTCTCATTGGCGAATCTTCAATAGGGTTTCATGACCAAGCATCGAATATATGAGCTCCTTCTGCCTATGAATGTGAACTTTGATGGATAATACTCGATAATTTGTCCTTTCTTTCTCTTTTATGGTCGTTAATATCTGTTTTTTTTTTTTGTTACTACAGAACTCGCCCTGTGACCCTTGCCTGGTTCACTGCTGCCTCCATTGGTGTGCACTGTGCCAAGAACACCGTGAGATGAAGAACCGCCTTTCAGACAACTTTGTGATGCCCATGACCGTCGTTAACCCGCCTCCGGTTCAGGAGATGAAAGCTTCCGACACAGACAACGGCTCTGTTCCCGTTTCCCGACACAGCACCGATCTCGAAATGCAGCCATTGTAGCCTCAACGTTTCCCCATGTTCGAGGTCTTGTTTCTTCTTAGAACTATGTTTTGCCTTGTTCAGCTGAATAGATTATGTAGCATTTGACTCATGGAATCGGTTCGGTTTGGTTCAATTCCCGGTTTAGGACTGATTTTGGAGAGATTAAATATCCGGAAACGCTTATATACGTGACACACACACTCTTTGGCCCTTCCAAATGCAAAAATATTTAGCATCTCTTATCAGTTTTTTTTTCTTTTTATACAAAAGATAAATCCTAGAAAGTGAAAACCAATGATGGGTTCAAATCGAACCGGACCAAAATCCGGTTAACGAAATGTTCTTGGTCTAGCATCTCTCTTATCAAGTTTTTCCGATAAATTTAATATTTATAGACGCTTTAAATACAATTATAAAATATCTGAAATGAGTAACACAAAAAGGTTTCATCAAAACACAATAAAATTGGTGAATTCGAATGAATCAAATAGATTAGATCTCTAAAAAGAAAGATTTGTTCTGAATTTAGGGGAATTCAGAGTGAAATTGCTGACATTTTCTCTTAATTTATTCAATTAAAATATGGAACGTACCAAATTAAACCAGATTATTCCAATAAAATAGTATATTGATCGAAACTTCTAAGACAACGTGTATTTTAAGCTTCGATAGGCAGAACGGCATGAAGTTCGGTTTGAGCCTGACGAAAAAAAAAATGTAGTAGTTAGAGAAAAAAAATTGAAGGTAAAGAATAATGTGAAAGGACAAAGCAGCGTTTTACAGAGAAATAAATATGGAAAACATGGACCGTTGACGATATGTATTAAATGACGTCAACATCAGGACGGAAAACCCTAGGGTAAGAATTTTAAACATGCATTATATACATAGTTTTGTGTATAAATTATTAAAAATATTTTTTAACCATCCGAAAACTAAAGGATGGGCAAAATATTGAACAAAAAAGTTCTTTTTTAGAAATATATACATATAAATGAGTCATATGTTTTTTGTGATTTTATATTTGATTATATTTTACATTCTAAATTTAAATAAAAAATATTAAGCTATGTAAAAAAATTATAAATGGTTATGATGATAATATGAGTAATTTTTAATTTTTCTGATATTTAAATTCACTATCCAATAATAATTAAAATTATATATTATTCTAAGAAGAAAATGACATTTCTTAATTATACAAGATATTGTTTATGATATTTTTATTTGATGCAAATTCATAATGAAATTTAGACGCAAAAACTTATACATCAAAATTAATATGCATACGACGCCACATATCATATTTTTCGTGATTTTCCATCTTCATAATTACAATAATTCATATATTATTATGAGATATATCAATATTTAAAATTTAAAGTTACAAAATAATTCAAAGATAAAAAAAAACATCAGCATCTTATTTTTATTACTTTGGAGTAATGAAATCCGTTTTTTCTTATCAACTGGTTGGTTCAACCGGCAAGGAAGAAAGCAAAACTCATTTCCAATCCGGGTTTGAGTCCTCGTTTGGGGAGAGGGCATTCACATGGGTTTTTCGGTTCTCTGGAAGATGTAGTCGGATTAAAGATCCGGTGAACTTCCAGATTAAAAATAAAAAAATTTGTATTAAAAATAAAAAAATTTGTTTTTCCTTTATGGTTAAAATGGATTGTAGAGAGCTTTGTATGCACAATTTTTTTTATTGATGAAAATTACATGTGACTAAAGTTAATTAATGCCGAAACGTTATAGAAAGAGATTATGCATCTGTCGCAGGCATATATATGAGAGATGTTGCATTGCATGCACTTCACCTTTGAGAACGGAGTGGGAAGGAAGAAGAAAGAACAAAGAGAAAAAGAACAGCAAATGGAGGCCAAAGGGATCCTCAGGAGCGCTGCTCTACAAAATGTCCCCCCATCTCGCCCTCTCCCTCTCTCTCTCTCTCTCTCTCTCTCTATATATATATATATATATATATATATACACACACACACTTACACGCGTAAGGAAATGTTGCATGTGACAGTACGTCGAGATGAACGCGTATCCAAGGGAGCACGAGCAGCTGAAGAAACTTCGAGAAGCCACGGTCGAAAAATATGCCAATCTGTAAGTGTCAACGATATCACTATATATACATATATATGTGTATGTATGTATACCCATAAACCTGTATAGTTATCAAGAATGTCTGAATTTGACCCAATTAATTTGTTGCTTGGATAATTAACACCAACGGTATATATCATATACATAATGTAATTTTGAGAATGCAGAAGCAAAATGGAGATACCAGTGGACGAAGGCAATTTCCTGTCGATGCTTATAAAGATTATGAACGCCAAGAACACTATAGAGATCGGCGTTTTCACTGGTTACTCCTTGCTCGCAACTGCCCTCTCGTTGCCTGAAGATGGTCGTGTATGTATTGTATTAATTCCCTTTTCATTCGAATAATAATCGTCTGATATCCTAATCAAATAAAATTATATTTAAACTCTATTTCCGATTCATTATATGTATATATTGTTGTTGGGTGCAGGTTATAGGGATAGATCCCGAAATTCGATATTACGAATTGGGTCAACCGTTCATAAAAAAGGCGGGTGTAGATCACAAGGTCAACTTCATTCACTCGGCTGCTCTCCCTGTTCTTGACGAAATGTTGAATGACGTAAGCCCTAATCTAGCCAAAAAGCGTTGATCAACTTTGAAGCTCGTAATATTAACTTAAAAAAATTTGTAAAATCATGAATTTTGTGGGATTCATGATTTTATATGGAGCTTTTTTTAAAAAAAAAAATCATTACGGCAGGAGAAGAAGCAGAAACAGGAGTTCGACTTCGCCTTCGTGGATGCAGACAAACACAACTACCAAAACTACCACGAGAGACTGTTGAAGCTCGTGAAGGTCGGGGGAGTGATCGCGTACGACAACACGCTGTGGTTCGGATTGGTGGCCGAGGACGAGGACGAGGACGACGGCGAAGACAGGTTCCCAGAACAGATGAGGGCCATTACAAGACACATAAGGGACTTCAACAGGTTCCTGGTCTCCGATCCACGTGTCGAGGTCTCTCTCCTATCGATCGGTGATGGCATCACTCTCTGCAGACGGATCGTCTGATATGAATTTCCAAAAGAATTTATTTTTAATGTTTTATTTTCTTCTTTTTTCCATTAAAGAAACTACGCATTGGGTTTCTCTGTGCTGTAATGTCCGTCTTCTCCTACATGACATGAATAAACCCCATAAGATATTGTACCAATGTTTTGTTTGGAGATCGAAGGTTGCATGTTTTTGTATCTTTTTCCCAATCCCTCGTAAGATTGTGACAAAGTTTCCACAATGGGGAATCCCCACCTCTAGTGGTTTGAGAGCCCTTCCTGTAAACGAGATCGTGGGTTCAACATCCAGAATATGGAGATTCTCCTCCTGCCAACTTCGAATGTTTCATATCCCACGTGTGTGTTGCAGGATCGTGCACGTGGGTCGAGATTAGTCACCCGATTATCAAACAAAAAGTTTCCACAATAAATTTAAATCACTTCTAACCCTTCAAGATTCGTTCGTTTGGACCATCTTTTATTGGGCTTATTAGTTGGGTTTTTGGGCTTAGTGGGCCTCCATTTTTAACCCAATCCATAGTGCCAGAGAGCATCACATGGCCGAGTAACATCCAAACTCTCCCTTCCCTTGGTCCTGATAAATGTCATTCTTGGATTAATTGGATAATTATGATTATTTGTTTGGATGTATATACATTTGTTAATCCAATTAACCTATTTTAAATACGATATTTACCTATCATTTCTGCAGACATGTAACTGAATAATTTAATTCGATATAAAATTCGAATAGAACGAAATTCTATATAATAATTGAATACAAATTGAACTATTTTTTTATTATAGTAAATTGAATATGAATCGAATGAAATCTTATATAAAAAAAATTGAACCGAACAAAACCTTATGTAAACCTAAATTTGAATTGAAAATCCTATACAAAAACTATATATCAAAAATAATAATCTCTCTGTTTCATAATAAATGTCGTTTTTTTTAAAAAATATTATTAAATAGATGTCATTTTAGATTTTTTAGGTTATTTTTTAATAAAATTTTCAATTTTACTTTTAATTAACAATATTTAATTTTAATAGAATATTAATGAAAACGGATTAAAGAGGATATATTTGACTTTTAAATACGAAAAATTGTTTTTAAAATCGAATTCTAAATACGAAAAAATAACAGAAATTTGTTTTTTTTTTCAAATAAATATATTACTGATAAAAAAACGTCTTGGAACCGCAAAGATAAACCAAAACCCCAATACTCGCCCCTAATTAACCCATTACATAGATTTTACAAAATCGCCCTATTTTTAAAGCTTTTTTATGAGATGATCACATTGATCATAAAATGATCCATAAATAAAATCAAGTCTCAACCAAATATTGTTATTATTGTCCAAGATTGGATAACTCAATTGGTTAATCCAAATTCTAGTATGCATGAAAGGTATTCATATAAGTTTTAGGATAAAGATGCGATTAATTTTTGGATTATCAAAAAAATATTATTATTTTTAAAATTAATTACGAATAATTTATGATTAGGATTCTGTGATTTGAATATCATAAGAAAAAATAAAACAAAGACCGATACAAATTTTATACAAGTCTACTGCTAAAATAAAGTATATAAAATTTTATATTTGAGTATCATAATTTTTTTTTCTCATTTTTTGTTTTCTTTTTGGCATGTTTCTGAGATAGTAAAGTGAGTATTTATAGAACTCCAAGTCTATCTGTACATGTGTTGACTGTTAGTGTTATGTAGAGATTCGGGAATCAGAAGATGACAAAAGAGATAAGGCAGTAAATGGTGTGGGCCCCAAAGCATTAAAACCCATTAATTAGAAAATTACTTTTCACGTAAAAAAAAATAACTTTTTTCTTGCCCCCATCAATTTCCCCGTCAATGTAAGATTTAATTTTCATATCAATATTTAAATAAACTAATAATTTGAAACTAAAAAGGGGGAGTGACCAACATTGACCCTCGTGAAAACCGAATCTCAGATGATAATGGCAACATAATTGAGAAAGAAACTAATTTTAGTTAATTTTTTAAAAACATCTATTTTTCTAAGTTATTATTACGATTTAATTGATGTATTTTCTATAAATTACATAAACATAATCCGGGTTGAATATAAATATCATAAAAATATGAACGAAAATGAGAATATCTCTCAAACTACATATTTTTATTAAAATATCTGAATCTAATCCTAAAAAAAATTGATATATTTTTTCCATTTCAAAATAATTCAAACAAAAATATCCAATATATTGATATTGGGTTAGTGTTTGAATCTTTTAGGGCATTATAATTAGAAGGATCATTAACCATGTCTTCCTTGTTTCATTTTTTTTTTTGTTTCTAATGGTTGAGGATGAGCTTCCAAATTGTCTTTGGCCCGAAAGCGCATGAGTTCTACTTAAAAAAAAATGTAATGCGTTTAAATATTTATTTTTTCAGAATATTTTCATTAATTCTATTTAATATTCCAACTATTTTTATATTCAATTCGAATCCATTTAAATTGAATTCACCTTAGACGTTATTCATTCGTTCCGTTTCAATTTTATTTGGTATGATATGTTCGGATCTAAATTAAAAAGATTTTAAAAGTATATATTTAATTGGCCATAAAATAGTGATTGTAAATTGCAAGGAGAATATTGATTTCCTCCAATGACACGCATGCTCGGATCGAGAGCTTTTGTATGTTTTCTCCTCTATGTTATATTCCTTTCGTCTCTACGATTGCACTTATAAAAAATATCAGACCAATATATAGAAGACTATATATATATGAACGAAATCAAAGAGAAATATATTCATATATATATATATATATATGAATATATCCCTAATATATCTTATTGGCAAAGGAAAAGGGTGAAAATTGAATATTCCATAAGAGGCTTACAAAAACAAAATGATTGCATGAGAGACCCCTTCTCACTTCAGCCTGTCTATATATTTGGAATTGTACCTTTTCCCATTTTCCCATTCTCTCTCTCTCTATTTAAAATTGGTTAATTTAGTTTTAAAAATATCGAATTTAAATTTATGTTAAATGTAATTATATTTAATTTTTGTAGAATCCAATTTATGATTTACCCAATATATATATATATATATATATATATATATATATATATATATATATACCCT